CCCCTGAGGCGGTTCCCAACGCCTAGGGGTTTGGAGAAACCGAGCTCAGAGCTTCGTGCGGCAGCGCTGGGGCTGGTTACTGCTTTCACACAGGGTCTGACTTAGCCGCAAGGAACTAGGAAACATTTATTCTCTAAGTATTTTTTTGCATTTTCTTCTAGAAAACAGTTTGATTTTTGCCTGATAAGTGAAGTGCTGGGGATACTGAAGGAGCCTTTGAGAAAAAAAGCTGTTTGGAGCCTGTGCTTCAACATGGGAAGTGAACAGCTGTACAGAAGTGTAAAATGGTTGCTATTTTAATAAAGGTGTTTCCTGGTGTAAGCTCTGTGGGAACTTCCAAGAGACTAAACCTCAGAATAATGTTAGATGACTGCTTAAACCCACAGCCCTGAACTACACAAGAGTTACCCAAGGTCTCCCTTTGGCTGGTCAAAGGTGCATCTGATAAAAACACTTCCTATACTGATAAGGGATGGGAGCTAGAGAGTTTCATCTACTGCCTGGAATAGAAAAGATTTTACCATTTTAGTAGTTGGTGAATTTATCTGCTCTCTACAAATCAAGTTAGCAAGAATTAATGTGAATCTCTGCAAGAAAACAGCAGAGCAAAACCAGAGTTCAGCCATGAGTACACACATCATCTCTGGATGCCACGATGGGCACCAGCTGCTTTTATGGTGCTGCTGGCCAAAGAGGGGACCCAAGGCTGGGCATGAAAACTGAGGACTAGCTGTCTCAACAAATTTAGGTCTGACTGTCCTAGCTCAAGCTGCAGTTCAATCCAGTTCATATGTGGGTGGTTCCTCCAGATTTAGCCTTCAGAATCGACTAAAAGTTAGCCCTGAACTCCCCTGTAATTGCTGACTTCCAGAGTAAACACTGGGGCAGAACAATCCCTATCTTTTTCAGGGATTGTTGTGTTCTGTTTTAGTAACTATCCTCTGAGCAGTTGCATTATTCAACTATTTGGCACGCCTACGATATGTCAGTAGAGGATTACTAAGGATGACTTCTGTCATCAATGTGTCATTTTAAAATGGAAAGCCTAATAAATGAACATTGTGCTGGTCTCCTGCCTCTTTTGTTCTGTGGCAAACAAAACATCTTCATTTTCTAAGAGGGTACAGGTTAATGTGTGACAAAGAGAAAACTGTTGAGGCAGTGTCATTTGGGATATTTCTAAACAACAGTGATTTTTATAATCCTACATGCAACGGTCTTGTCCAGTGACATCAAAATTTAGTAACTTGATAACTCTGGTCAAAATGAGTCATTATTTCTTCTGTGCTAGAGGCACTTTAGAGGCAGAGAGGTTAAGCCATTATAAACTAACACTTACACTCCATCAGCAAGCACGGTTATAACTCAGGGAGTTCAATGTACCGTGCTAAATACAGCTGAACTCTCTGAATTGAATAATTACTCAACATCATCTACAGTATTTCGCTTAGAAGGAGGAATCAGCAGTGGAGTCAGATATTTATTGCAAACAGTCCTATATTCTTAGGAAAAATGCAGAAAACCCATTTTTCTCCCCTGAAAGCAGCATACATAAAACATATAGAGAATGTCTCTTTGTTTACAGCTCTATAGGTCTTTTCCAGATAGCCTCAAAGGTCCCTTAGTGATCAGGATCACGCTCTTAATGGTGTCATGTTCCAGCTCCTATGTGACTTTTACTGCTTTTAGCTCTCTGCAGTGTGTGGTTTCACTGAGATCTTTTCTGGAAGAAGCAGGAACACGTTCCAATATGCAATGGGAGGCTCCCATTGTTTCACTTATCTGCTTCCATAAAGAAATGTAATGGCTTTCTGCAACTGCCTAAATAGAAGGCAGCATGACAACTTTAATGTGACTCATTACAACACAACAAATGAAGTTCTCCTCAGACAAAGCACAAAGGTAGGAAATGAGTTGGGAGTAATGTAACAGAAAATAATGGACAAGGGGAAACATAAATAGAAACTAACAACAACAAAAAAAAGAAGATTGAATAATGTGTACCAAGGTACCTGGAAAACACAGAAGTCTATCACATACTTAAGTTCCACACAGGATCAGAGTATGATGGTAGCTTTCCTTGGAAATCAGTAAGTTATGATGGCAAGCTACTGTCCCAAACTCCAGCTGCACTGAGGCTTCACTGATGACATAGAATAGAGAATTTTTGCACTTACTGGAAAGTGGAAGAAAGCATAGAGGTTCCTTTCTAACAGTTATGAATTCCCACCTTTCTGAAACGAAACCTCCTAACCCTGAGCCTAGTGTTGTGACATGCCATGTGCACTGCACAGGAGAGGGTGCACCTGTGTGTTAAGCAACCTCACCTCAGCAATGCTAAATAATTGGGCATCCATTCTGACAGCTATTCTGCAGGGTAACATGTGTGTGGGCACACACTTTGTCCCTCATGAGCAAGAACTTGGCACTTACCACCTTGTAATATATTCTTGTAATACCATCTTGGCTGCATCCCAAAAGGAAGGATGGAGCGGCACTCAGACCATAATGGGATTGCACAGTGGGTAACAATGACCTGCCTTCTAGCAAGCAGAGTAAGCAGTGCCCACTTGGCCTGTGTGAAGGTGTATAATGACACAGATCCCAGATCCCCACTGGTCTGCCTCTCTGTACAACCTCCTGAACTGGCTGGAATGAAATAAGCCTTTCCCTGAGGGACAGAATGCTCAAGACAACCAAGGAATGCACTTGGAAATCCTTTGCTGGTATGTACTTCTTATTTGGTTTGCTTTGTTCCCTGCAGTGTGCCTTTCAGACATCGGTGACGTAAAGCTACAAATCTGCTTAGAGGGAAGGAAGGAGGTTAGTGTAGACAGGAGGGCTTCTGAATGAACAGCTTAAATTGCAGACTGCTATATCCAGTCCACCTCCCTTCAGAAACCTCAGGAAAAAAACCCTACGTTAACATAAAATGACGCTTGGCATCTAGGACTCAGGGGTGCAGAAATGACAAGGCCGCTTTGATTTAGCTGGAGAGGAAATGTGAGAGGTAGTACCATGTGCAAATTAAACCCTTTGATCCTGATATCAGTCTCTTAATTAGGAAGCTGTCAGGAAGAGGCAGTTTTGTTAACCCATGTCTATCCGGACAGACCTATTGCTCTGAACAACAGCAGGATTAAATTCACCAAGGATTATCCAATTTTAATTTCTTTTATTTCTTGGTGCATTACTCATCAGCATAGACCATACTACAAATTACCCCTAATTAGAACTACAAATCTGTCTGTGCCCTGCACAGTCCCTCGCCAAACTTTGTCTTCGGCAGCGAACAGAGTTGCCCGCTCCTGGCAAGTTCCTGTCTTTCGCCCTTTGCACAGCTCAGTGACTTCCCAAACCTGAGCAACTCCTATTCACTCACAGGCACTTCTCTGAAGAATCCTTTAGCAAGGCGCCTGCTTACTCATCTCTTATTAGGTAAATGTGCTTTACAAGGCATCTAGTCTGCTTCCACTTCGTATATTGTCTCTACTTGTTCAGTTTATGTTTTCTGGCTCTTGAGTATGTCTAGACTTAACTGTTATAATCCATCTTCCTTCCAACACATACTTCAACCATACAATGAATGAGTTGTGCTTTTCTTTCAGAACCTTGAGTTCTCTATATTTCCATCTCATACAGTTTATGCACTGTACTAGGACAGAAATACTGTACTTCTTTCTGAATAGCACCCCTACTACGTCTTGGTCACAAGTGTTAAAAATGTCTATAATTTTAGAATGAGATTCTCTGCCCCAAAATGTTCCATTTGGAATTTCAGCAGGTATGTTTCATTTGCTGAAGAAATATGCATGGCGCTTTCTTCCTTGCAGACTAATTACACAAAAAACTTTGGGTTTAGATATCTGCCTTGGTAGTATAAAGGTATGTACTTTGATTTATTTGCCAATATTTGACATTCATCTAATAAACTCAGTACTTGAAATTTTGTTAATCACATACAGCATACAGACTTCTTCTAAAAACTGTTCTATCAGAAATAAGTCTGCTAAAGAACTCCTTGAGGCAAAATCGTTAGAATCTTTAAGAATCTCCTCTCTCCTTGTGGTTTCCTGCCTCTCTCTAAAAGTCTCCAAGCCCTGGAGGGCCTATGCTCTATTTTCCACTTGTATCTTCATTTCTGCTATAAAACTTAAACAAAAACCTTAGATAAGGGGGCTAATACTAAAACACAAATATGTAACATGGTTAAACACACATTACTCCCAACTATTGATCGCCATGCTTGAATTCTGATTCGGATATGGAGCTACAGCAGGAGCCCCAGGAATCTGTCTCCAACATGGAGGATTTTTCCCATGTCTTCCCCTTCATAGAGTGCAGCTACATGGAACCTAGGAAACAAGAAAATAAAAAATAGGGTATTAGGTATACTAAATTATTGCATATTTTCATTTGCATGTTTATTAAAAGGCATACAGAACAGTCACAGTGAGGCAAGCCACCTGTTATGTACAGAGCCCTGAAGAAATGTTGAGTTAAGGTAGATGGAAAAAATCTCGTCCTTGTTCTTTGATCTCACTTAGGGTTGAAATGTGCCTGATTCCTGGGTCCTTGCTCCAGGTGGAGAAACCCTGTATCTGCCTCTCTACGGATATACTACACTTCTGTTTCTTTACCATACATCACATCTAGTGCTGGATTTTAACAGGATATGCAAGGACACAGGATTACTGAGAGTGCATGTGGAGCAACCAGCAAGAGGGAAGTTCTTGGCCATCCTGTCCTAATGCAGAAAAAGAGAAGTGGGCAGTTAGGGAGTTAACATGCACCTAGATGCTGGAACACAGGGACAGAGTATTGGAAGGTAAATTAATGATAACAAATCCAGGATTTTTTGTCCTTTTATATGTGTGTGTGTATAATTTTCAGTTAAGCACCATGATTTTATTTTGCTTTGAGCTCTAGGTAGTGTGAAACACAATCCACATAGGACATGGACTGATAGGCATCTTCTGACCTTGCAGAAAAAGCTGTGCAAAACCAAGGGGAGAGATGAGAGGAGGGCCTGAGTTTCCTCTTATCTAACAATCTTGGTGAAAACAAGAGAACTCCAGGGAAGTCAGTGGTGTTGGAGCAGCATAAGACCAGATGCTAAAGGGTTTTCCTCTGGGAGTGCTTTCCAGAAATCTGAAAGGATTCAGACACAGTGGAGAAATTAAAGTTTAAGGTTCACCCAGGCAAGAATTGGCCTTCCTGCTTACTGGAATGCCTGACTTGGAAATGACATATATGCTGAACTGGGAGCAAAGTCCTGTAATAAATAACCGTGCCTCAGTCATTTCCTCCTTTGTGCTGCAGAGGACTGGTACTCAGTGAGGGATCCCTTAATGGCACCAGTGCCAGTTTCACCTTTTTTTTCCTTCTTACTCCAACGTTTATGAAAAAGAGGGAGCTAAGCTGCAGAAGCCAGACAGTGAAGATTTCTTCAGGAGAGGTAATTTCCCATCTTGTGGGGTGCAATTTTGTTTACAGTGCTGCATTATGTTGGAAAGAAAAGCAACAGAGAGAGCCAAGCATCGTCAGAAAGCATTCAAGCAGGTGGGGAGTTGGCTTTTTAAGCATTTTATATGTTGAAACTGTGTATCCCGGGATTATATGGGATCTCCTCCCTACATGTCCATTCTTGGCTGCTATCATAGACTGGATCCAGAGCTAGCTGTACCTTTGATGTAATGTAGTATGGCTGCTTCGTGTTTGCATGTACCACTCCCTCTTTATTCTGGGTAGATATTTCTTTTCTGTTGCAGTACCCTGGTTTCTGGCACAGGTGAAAAAGTATCTGTCAGTTGTTGAGTCACTGTAGCTGACCTCGGCCCACGTTTGCTAAGTACCATGCTTCTGTACCACCTTCCATCGCTCCTAGTAACAGGTCATCACACTGTTGAAGTTAATACACAGATCCAGTTCCTGAGTCCTGAAGAACATGAGGACTTTGCCATAACAATAACTGATTATGAAAGACGGAAGTTCCTTCTTGAGAGGGTGTAAAAAAAGCACAGAAAAATACCAAGCAGCCAGAAAGAACACATTCACATTGCATTGCTAAATTTTCATAGATATTGAGCTACAAAATTGAGCACAATTTACATCTTAGTTACAGATGAGCTCCAGAGGTTTCCCTAGTCTCACAGGGAAAATCAGTTCTTAATATAGTCAGTCCTTGCAGTTTCTCCGTGTGCCAGCTTTGTTATTAAGTGTGACATTCCACTTCTTGTTATTGGGTCACCTACATGAATGTTACATTTAAAATTCCTGCTTTAAAATGTGTGTTAGCATTGGACTTCTACATCAGCAGTCTGTCATCTCTTGAAGTTTCTATTTATTTTCCACTTTGGGATCACAATACATATTTTAATTTTGATAATTAGCTATTTTCAGCATACCTTATGATAACTTCAAAGTAGTAAATCATTCTGGGCTTGCTCAGAAACCCTGTTCAATCCATGCTACTGTATAGCTCTTTATAGCCACAGATAGGGCACAAAGGTCATGTCAAGCACTTCCTAGTTTCCATTTTGCTACCCTAATAGCTCTTCTTATGGTTAAGACATTGGTGTAACCCACAACAGTGGCAGTATCTTGCATAGAAGAGTATAATTACTCTTTCCTTTTAGTCTGAAGAAAAGTCTGTTTATGCACCCATCAATTTTAAATAAGACCATGATTTATGGAAGCTATTTATACCTTCCCAAATAACATAGGTAAAAAAAAGTGGGCAGCTATGGGAAAGCAAGTGACGAAATGAGCCCTAATTCTCTCACTGCAATGTTTTCTTTTAACAGTGAATTTTATTAAAACGAGAGGAAGAAAGCAATGGTAACCCTGAACTTCACCTTGAGGTTTTTTCAGTGGTAATCTTCATTTTTCAAGAGCATGAATTTCCAAAAATAAAGTGGTGGCTTGAAACACCTTTCTGATAATTTAGTTGCAAAGATCTGAACCTCAGAAAACTCTATAGCTCCACCATAAAATGAAGATAAATCATGAAATGATTTAAATTATTCAATCAGAAAAGTAATGAAATCTGGGTACCTCTCAAAAATATATACCATCCATATTACACAGAAGTGTAAATAGCTATCACAAATTTTAAACGTAAGATTTTAAAGCCTTTACACGTGATAGAAGAAATATCAAGGATTTCAGTGAAATTATTGATGAAGTATCCCATTAATCACTACTATTAATAGTACTGCAAACCAGGATTTTGATGATTACCTGTATAGCACAGGTAGACGATGGAACTTCCAACTCAGTTAATTTCTAGTTTACTTGTTTGTTCAAATTTTCTAGAAAACCTGCCTGAAACCAAGGCAAGCATAATTTAGGGCCAGAATAAAATAACTTCTCAAAAGGCCGTGAGACAACAAGAGATTTAGATTTGAGTGTCAAGACAAAACTAGAACAGGTGTCTGTCTTCTTCATGGGGGATTTTCCAAGAGATCATGGACTTGCCTGGAATAATTTTCTGCCAAAGATAATTTTCTGGTCCTGTAGTGTCCACTCACCTTTGTAAAGTGGTTTCCAAGTGGTTTGCTGTCAACAGGAATGTGCAGAAGACATGCAGATGGTTCAATATGTCCTCATTGAGCAGGAGTTGTAAAATACTAAGAAAAACTCATTGATAATAGATCATGAAAGGATAAAATTGGAATAATTTTTAGTCCAAGGTTAGCATTTTATGGAGCATTTTGCTCATTGCAAGAATTTCATTCTTATTATCAACTCTGAGCTGAGCCTTTCCTCTGGGTGTGCTGGAACAATGGATAGAAGGAGAGATGCTTTAGAGAAATGGAGAGAGCAGAATGGGTCACACAGTTGTGAGAAGTTTGTGAATATGAGGCTGTGGAGACATGGGCTAATAACTGATGTCTGCTGCACACAGCAGCTACTGAATCACAGGTTACTTAACAGCCTTAGTGTGCAGGGATCACCCCTGCTAGTAGGAAGAGATAAGAGGGGAAAAAAACCCATCTGGAACTCTGGAAACATTTAGACGGCACTTAGCAAACAGTCTTTACCTGTGATTTCCCACACACCATAGGAGACATACATCAGCCTTCATGCTGTAGCAAGGGTGGGAGCTGGCAAATCACACCTAGTCCTGGAATCACTCTCAAAATCCAGTTGCAGTAGCCTAATGGGATAGGAAGCAGCTTCTGAAGACTTTGGATCTTTTCAAGGATCACAGCCTAAACAGCATCATCCCTTAATCAAAGCACTACTGTAGATTTCTGGCCACCAATCTTTTCACTGTTACGTCCCTGATAGTGAGCTTCTAATTTTATTGTGGTTCCCTGCACTTCCTTATTTTGCTGCTCATGCCTTCATTGCAACCCCTCCCATTCCAGCCAAGAAAGGTGAACTCTAAACCTCAGTTTCTATATGGTAATAGGTTCAAGCTGTGAGGGTCTGAGGGAACTGAGCAGCTCAGGAAGGTATGAATTAGATCTGTGTCACTGAGCTAGCCACTCATAGCACCCGAACTGCTAGGTCAATGGATCAACCAAAGGTAACTCTATTGTGCATCAAATTACATTGCTTTATGGGGTCTTTTTATTTGTGAGCCAAATTTGAAGTTCAGCCAATAAATGTGCCTAGCATCTTATTGAGGAATATTTAGTATGAAAACGTGCACAGTGACGTCTTCAGGGTCGAGAGCATCTCCAGGGTTATGTGGTAGAACTCAGAGCAGACCACCACCCCAGTGCTGTAGGTACTTTGCTTTGGGTAGATGGTTTACTTGTTTCTATATTGAGTGTAGCTTATTATGATCTCTTCTGCTTTAACAAAATCCATAAACAGAAACATTTCAAGGCATTTTGCTGTTATTTTTTTATAAGGAAACATCTCAAGGAAACACCACTGTCTGTTCTGATCAAAGCCCAAGCCCTTTTCAGGCCTAATGTTATGTTCTTCTTGGCACTGCAGGTTATATCCAGTGATCTAAAACATGATGGTTTTCAGGAAGGTAAGTCCTATTCTTTGCTGTGACTTATTGATTAGCCTGTGGCCCAAAGAGGAGAAAATTATCTTAACATCATGGTTCAACTCAAAAAGAAAGTAGCAATAACCCAGTATCAACAAGGTATAAAATAATATAAATCTAGACTAGAGATGCAGAGGTGTCTTGCCTAGCTGGGCTGTGCTTATGTTGAGCTGGTGACCTCTGTCACAAGGTGTGGCACTGAAACTGCACACCTTACCTCTGGAGTTTTATTCAACGCAGGTGAGAGCTGTTAGTCTGTAACATTCTTCATAACCTTTTGCAATGTTTATAGATGCCTTACATTACAGTTGTTTGGTTTTAGACATGAGCCCATAAAGTATTTTGAGAGGAAAAAGAAATAATTTTTCAGTAAAAAACTTTGACAGTTAATGCTATGGTATGTAACAAATTCTGTATATGACAAGAGACTCAGCTATAAAGCCAATTCCTCAGCAGGTGTAATATGAATTACCCATTGAAGATCTGACCTACAGCTTTGTCCAATTTTCATTCCAGCCCTTACAGTAAAGCTTTCTGTTTGAATATTAGTGTCTGGAGCAAGAGAAGGTATTCCTTGGGGCTGGGGTTGGGGAGTATAACCAGGACAGTAGTGCAGGTGACACCAAGATGGTGCTCATTCCTAGGAAAGGGCAGTCATAGCTCACACCTTTCCCCCAGTGACAGCAGAGCAGTTCTGCTTGCCTGCTTGCTGCGCAGAGAGGCAGGATGTTGCCATGCCTCTACAAATATGAAGAAAGCAGCTGGGCTCAATAAATAACACTTTTTTTTTTTTTTTTCTTTACCTGAAGATAGATCACAGATGCACTAGCATTTCTAAGTGATTGCAGCTATAGCAGAAAGAATATGTATCTAAAAACTCTTGCAATAAAGCCTTCTACATATCCAGGCATCTAGTCTGTACATTTGTTTGTTTGTTTTTCTTTTTCCTGGTAATGTCTGTATTTTCAAGCATCCCTTCTGAAAGAGTACCATAGCTGATATGAAGCTGCCAAGGCACTTCAACAGCATTCACTGTGCCCCCTGACAATCTCTGGGAGATAGTGGAGCTGAATAATTGCTGTCTGTGTAAAAGGTGTAGCCTTATTTCCTCTTGTGAGACAGCTGGGCTTGATGACTTGTTCAAAGGCACATTCCAGGTCAGCTGTGGAGCTTGGAGTAGAACTCAGAGGTCTTGATACTATAACCATTAGACTGTACTACCTGTGAGCAGTAAGAACTTATCCATTTAAGCACTGCTAAAGAAATCAAATCACTATAAAATTAAGACCAAGAGATGTATGCTTGTGAGCTACATGGTATCAAATATGTCACTGTACTTACAATATCTTCTCCCCAGGGTGATCATGTGTGGCTGGACACTCAATCAAACAGTGAATTTAATGTCCCTATTGGGGCAGTTGTGAAGGACTCTGACTCAGGACGGATACTGCTGGAGGATGATGAAGGCAAGGTGGGCTGCCCTATAACTTTCTGCAAAAAGATGAACATAAAATTTAAGAGTACAAAGTATGAAAGAATGGCCCTATTGGGTCAGACCAAAGCTCCATCTAGCCAAATGGTGTGACTTTGGTAATGTCTGGTAGGATATACTGAAAGAAAGAAAACAAAAATAAGGCAAATATAGGGTGATACTCTAGTATCCCCACATCTGGCACTATGAAGATTTAGACCTTCTTGAGCTGGAGGTTATATCTACATAGTTAAGAAAAGGAAATGGACAGGCTCCAATCCCTAAATTTGGTGGATCTTTAGGTGAAATCATGATCCCACTAAAGTCAGTTGGGATTTCATCCCTACCTCATACAATGTTGTGGCTGTGATTACCTGACAGAGCTGCGCTCTGAGCAATGCTAAATTTGATGTCCAGAACCCACGGTGACTTCATCCAGTGCTTTAAATCATGTGGTGCTGGGGAGCAGCAAAGCAGTTGATTTCTGTAGTTCAGTTTACTGTTTGTTAGCATATGCTGGCTTGCACATGGATTGTACTGAAGGTTGCTCCAGTCTAACATGGCTCTCCTTTGTTTGCCTCTGAGCAACAGGAAAACACATTAAAGCTCATGCCTTGGCTTTTTTCAGGAACACTGGATCACAGCTCGGAACATGCACATGGTACACCTGATGCACCCCTCCTCTGTCCAAGGGGTGGAAGACATGATCAACCTTGGGGATCTCCATGAAGCAGGCATGGTACACAACCTCCTCATCCGCCACCAGGAGCAAAAAATCTATGTGAGTGCCAAGGTCACCAGACAGTACTTTCAGGAATGACCTCTGCAACACGTCTTGCAGAGTTACCTGAGCAGCCTGCAAGCATTTCATACATGGGGTCCTCTGCTTCCTTTACTGATTGAGAGTGCCAAGGAGACACAACATAGTTTTTCTCTTCTTTCATTCAAGTAATTTGGCTGTGAAGAAGAGAGCTAATAGCAGTCTCTGGAATGACAGAGATATGCCCAGGTAGCGACCCTGCTTACTTTCTCCTAGGGTGTTCGTTTCCATCAGTGACTGACAGCTAAATCCAGCCCACGTTACAGCTTAGTGCTGCTATTACCTGCAGCTGTGACACAGGATCAATCTAACTAGTACACAGTGACATGATTTGGATTATCCTGCAGTCCAAGTCAATGTTTACTTGATTTTGATAGAATAGATGAAGAATAAATCTGGATATTTAGGGCCCCTGGTTTCATTTCTTGTCCATTACATGTTTTGCCTGTGACTGAGCAATTTGGCATTTATCGTATCTTTGTTCCTTAGTTCCTAGTTTGTAATATGATAATAATATTCAGGTTTTTCCATGCTTTGCCTCACATGTTATATACACTGTAGGAGAGGAGCTGCCTCTTACAACACAGATGTGTTGAAGTTTAGTGTAAACAAGGACTGATTTTATAGATGCTGCAGTTATAACTACCAATATGTGTGTGTAGACTATTAGACTTCAGCAGTCTGCAGCTGTCTTATGTAGAAGTTCTTGAACAATATTATTGCTTGCACTTCCACAGCCTTCAACAGCCTCCTTCAATGGTGCTGTTATTCATAAATATTACTAAATGACTGTATGAATAACTCAACAATAACTTTGCCCATCAGCAAAGTTCAGCTACATCTGCACTAAAACATGAAAGCAGCTTGACAAAACACTACAAAACAGCTTATGATAGCACACAAAAATGCCATGTTAAATTGGACTTTCTTGTGCTTTAGCCTGAGACAGCGAACTGCGCTGTGATTTGGCAAGGAGATTATAGCTAGCATTCTTCCTGCTCCAAAAACCTTCATATCCTGGGATTTTTAATAGCAGTTTATAGTGAGGAACTAGGGTCCCGGTCTCACCTAAGTGATGCTATGGATCTCCCAGGCTTCTATCCTGCCTCTGTTTAGATTTATACTGCAAGTGGCTTTGGTTGTATTCTTGGTTTGCTGCTAGAGGTAACGCTCATAACTGTGTTCCAGACTTACACAGGATCAATCTTGGTAGCAGTGAATCCATACCAGCTGCTGCCCCTCTACACAGTTGATCAGATCAGACTGTACTGTAACAAGAGGATTGGAGAGCTACCACCTCATGTCTTCGCCATCGCAGACAACTGTTACTTCAATATGAAGAGGAATAAGAGAGACCAGTGCTGTGTAATCAGGTGACTGGACTCAGAGGGAACAAGGAACAGAAACCAAGTCCGGCATGTTTTTGGGCCACCTTTGTGGACAGATGAGACCTTCCAAATGGAAGGGCACAGATAACACTAGAGACAACAGGAAAGAAGTATTTTCTCCCCTGCTATTTCATTTAGTTAGGACTGCAGAAGGTAGAACATAAGCAAGGGATTTCTGCAGTCCATTGTTTTTCCCCAGAATCTTTGAATGTAGTGATACATTCTGCACATGGTCATTACATATAGAAACATAAAATATGAGCCTGTGTGATATAGGGCTATCTTTTATCATGGGGACATACTTATGGTATATGCACTTTCTGAGAATAGAGATTTCCTGGAGAGAAAGTACCTCTGCTAATCTGAAGATGGAGGGAAGCTTTCTTCATCCTATAAACACATAACATGTATCCATTTTCTGTTAATGTGTGAAGAACAAGATAGTCTCATTGCAATAATATCTGATTGTAGCTGAGGCTGAACTCAGCTAGCATTGAAAATCTGGTAATGCATTAAAAGAAGAAAAGCAAGTGGTCATTTAATTTGCACTGGTACAGAATGTCTTCCATGGATTTCCTTGTTTTTAATCAGTGAGAACTTAGTCCTCAGCCTAAGTCTAAAAAACAACTTAAATTTTAGCAGATAAGATGATGAAAGTCTAAAATTCTCCATCTCTCCATGAAAGACAGTCTGAACTGCCATTCTTTTTTTTTTTTTTTTAACTTGGTCTGCCATTTTGACACCCTAGCCAAAAAAAGAAGAAAGGAAACCTGTAATGAACTTGTTTCTTACTGCAGTGGAGAATCTGGAGCTGGGAAGACTGAAAACACAAAGTTAATACTACAGTTTTTGGCAGCTGTCAGTGGCCAGCATTCCTGGATAGAGCAGCAAATCCTAGAGGCCAACCCCATTCTGGAAGGTGGGTTATTTAGCAAACATGCCTGATTTACCACCTTTATCTCAGGATTTTTGTATCAGGATGAAAAATTCAGAAACAGATCTTTGAACCATTGTATATGCATAACTGCTAAAAACCCCAAAACACTGGTGATGCAGGGTAGAAGTTCTCCATACTTTTCTCCCATAAAGTCCACAGCAGCTCCCATGCTGTAGGAGGATGTGCCACTGAAATATGTAACCTGGAACTGCCAGGAACACAAGAGTCCATGGGAATGCAGAGCCAAAGGTAAAGACCCCTGGTTTAGCATTTGCACCAGATAGTGACAGTGTGACAGGCCAAGAATGGATGTATCTGTAGGGAAGCTCCCTCAGACACCCATCTTTCTCTGTAGAGGCATTAAATGTGTTCCCAGTAAATCCTTCTAGAGGTCTTCAGAACTGTGCAGCTCTCTTGGCTGGCCAGATATAGGGCACATTTGGATCATTTGAATATGTCTTTCAGGACTCAATTACCTGAATACACAGTATGCCTGCCTCTGTCTTTAGGAGGCAGTCTGAGACCAGACATTCTTCAGTGCTTGCCAGCATTGGCATTTGGAACACAACATGTAAAACACCAGCAGCAAAAAAGAAAGGTGTAAAAAATAAACTTGATGTTCATTAACTGCAATGACTCAGATACTGTCTCTGTCTCTTGCCCATCAGCTTTTGGAAATGCCAAGACAATTCGAAATGACAATTCAAGCCGCTTTGGGAAATACATTGATATTCACTTCAACCAAAATGGTGTGATAGAAGGAGCCCGGATAGAACAGTTTCTTCTGGAGAAGTCCCGGGTTTGCCGGCAGGTGAGGGCACTGCCAGATGTACGTTCTGCCTGCTCCTGTTACAAACTTATGCTGACAAGGCTGTCCATTGGCCTCTTTCTTTCTTCTAGGCTCCAGAGGAGAGGAACTATCATATCTTCTACTGCATGCTAATGGGGATGAATACAGAGCAGAAAAAGATGCTGAATCTGGGCACTGCTTCAGAGTACACTTATCTCACTATGGTAATAGTCTCTGCTTTCTTCTCCATTATCCCTCTGCTGTTTGCTTCTCTCAGCAAGCAATTGCAGTCAGTAAGAGCTGCAGATGGGTAGTTACCAAATAGGAACACTCCTTTCCTTAGAGTACCAGAAGCAGTAACACCGAAAGTGCTGTGAGACTCAGTTTCAGAGACTTACTGTAATGTCTGCCAGTAGCAGGCAGCTTGTAGCAGTTCAAAGCTTTCTATCAAAGTCAGACTTAAGAAACATGAAGGGCATCTTAAAGCAAGTGGGAAATATTCCCCACTTTCACAGGCACTCAGGTTTCATATGAATGCAAGGGATCTCATGCCAGGGAGAATACTAATCAGGTATGTATACCTTAGGGGAAAAGGAATAAGCAGAAACAGTGCCAAGAATCCTAGTCCCATATCTGATAAATCTTATATACATAATGCAGGAAGCTGGCATTCAATCTAACCTCCAATAGCTGATGTTAATGTCCCTGTCTGGGTTTTATGTTGCCATAGTGGCAGGAGTAGGATGTTCATAGTGAGATTTTTGAAAACAGCTAATTGGTTGGTTTAGGGCATGAAAGCCATTGTGAAAATCCTGTTCTTTAGCCTGTGCAGATACCTCATATTAAATATATTAGCTGGTTTGATTTGGACTGTTCTACAGCCTAGGAAAAAATGAGGCTAAGTTCTGCCTCTGCTGAAGTTAATGGGAGAAGGACATCTAGTTTCAGTGAAAATATCAAGCCTATAAAGCTGTTTCTGGAGTCTCAAAAGCAAAATCATTAAAGTTGCTGGGGATTTTTTCAAATGTAATGTTTTCAAAATAGCAGTGATCTTGCAGAAAGCTGATGAATGCAATTCACACATTGGCCATTCCATAAAAAGGTCTGAAGTTCCCTGTGACAGCAGGAGGGCAGTATAATACAGGGACAGGAGGATTAGACTGCAGGAGAACATATCCATGGTTTTGTTAAGGTTGGCACGAGCTGGCATGTTTACATGCTGTAAACTGTCTAGGAATACTTCACTTTTGTAATCATTACACTATATTGTCAGTAATAGCAGGGATAAAAAAGGCATTTTCCCATCTCCATTAGGGCTGAAAATAGTTTCTATTAGGAGCAGCATCCTAGGACCCACTGTGCAGGATTTATTGAAGGTTCTTCTGATGCTGCTTTGATTGCTTCCATCTGCCTTCCACTAGAACTAATATTCTTATTTCGAGATTTGCCTTCTAGTACTGATCCAATCCTCCTCGCTTTGATTTGGGATTAGGGCTCTTAATTGTCCTTTGACAAGGCAGAGAGAGGAAATCAAAGAAAGAGGCATGGCCTTGTATGTGTAGGTAACCTTGTCAAAGTTTCCTGTCCTTCTATACTCCACAGCAGCCTTCCCCTCAGCTTTTCCTTTTGGCTTCCACAGTATTCAGTGAGCCCTGGAGAAATGCATTATTTAGCCCTCTGCTACTGGGTTCTGCTTGAGAGTAGAGATGAGGGAAGAAACAGCCATTGGAAGAGTATATAGAATGTAGGTTTTTACCTTATGTCTTGTGGCAAGAGGCTCACAGGGCATCCACATTGTGTACAAGGGTTTGTCAGTCTGCAGGTCCTTTCTCCCTCGCATCGGTACTGGGAGGATTTTCCTAACCTGTGGTTGAGGTGTTTTGCAGGGCAACTGCATGTCCTGTGATGGCCGGAATGATGCGAAGGATTATGCCCACATCCGCTCAGCTATGAAGATCCTCATGTTCTCAGATTCTGAGAACTGGGACATCAGCAAGCTGCTGGCTGCCATCCTGCACCTAGGGAATGTAGAGTTTGAAGGTAAACTCAGCATTGTCTGTGCTTCATCATTTAGACTGGATGGTAAAGGCCTCAAGGTGCTGTCTGCTTCCATCTGTACAGATTAGGTTGTGTTGCTCTGCCCTGTATAAAGAGGTGAACAGGGTTGGAAGGGCAGGCAGATGAGCACCGTGAAACTCTGATTTATGACTCCACTGCCTAGTGTTTTGAAAAACACCATCTTATTATTTTTTGTCATGCTGTCAGCTTTCCGTGGTTATAAATGGGCCCTTATCACACAAACTGAAACTGATAATATATTGCCATGTTACATTTGCTTACTGTTGTGCTATGCAAGCCAGAGACGCAGGAGCAGCTCAGTGGTGTTTGCTGTGGGGATGCTAGCAGTCATTCTCCTGGCTAGGTCTGGTGAACACTCACCTGCATAAGTGCACTTCTGGTACCGCACAGGCACAGTGTGGGACACCCACCAGAGGGATGCCAGAAGCTCTCACATTTTAGAAAAGGACTCCTCCTCATTTTGTGATACAGAGGGTCAGCTGGATACAGTGATGCCAGCTGGATTCTTTGGAGTAATGCTGGTTTCTAAAATGAGGGACTTCTCTTGTTCCCTTTCATTGTCTAAATTTCCCTACATGAAAAAAGTATTTTCAGAAACACATTTTCTGAAGTCAGATACCACTTCCCCAGATCCCCAATAGCTACTATTTTAAATTAATAACCTTGTCAGTTTTGCTACTATTTTTAGCCCAATGTTCTGGTGTTGTGAGGGCCCTTTACATCTCAGGATCCCTGGGTGAAATCAGGACCCTTCTTAGTAAAATCATCAAATGTATGAGTTTCAAATAGGAGCTTGCTGCCTCGCCACATTCCTAGAGCTACAGGGTTACAGAAATACAGCTACAATAGCAGAAATGATTCACCCTGAGATTGACTGTTTCCTCATTGTAGCGGCTGTGTATGACAACTTGGACTGCTCTGATGTGATGGACTCACCACACTTTTCAGTCGCAAGCAAATTGCTTGAGGTAATGGACTCTTATCTTCTCCTGCTAGTTCTCTCCTTCACCCTCTCTCCCTGAGCACACTGACAAGGCATGTCTCTGTGGAGTGTTTATGTATGGATGCATGTATAACAGGAACATCCCCTTCTTCCCCCTGACACTCAGTGACACTGTTGCAGATGTGTCTCTGAGCTAGGAGATCTTTAGCAGGCTGCCAGTGAATGCTGCTGAACAGGCAGTTTGTCATGGCTGTGTCTTCCTGAGAGACTTTGCTGGATGTCCTTTATCCACCTGGAATGACCAGGTTGCCATGACTCTTCTGCCAGGTGGACTCCAGTGAACTTCAGAACAGCCTCACAAACCTCTCCATCATTGTTCGAGGAGAAAGTGTGTCCAGGCCTCTCAACATAGTTCAAGCTGCAGATGGGAGGGATGCCTTTGTGAAGGTACTGGTGCTTACAATTTCTCCGTTTAAAGACTGGTGTTGTTTTCAGAGCTGTCTTACTAGTTGAGGAGCCTTATGTGGCAAACATTTACCCAGAGGGCTCCGGTCTCTCGTAGTCTTCAGGCATAGTTTGACAGCACAACAGCAGGTGGTAAACTATGTCCAAAGACTGTAATGATGGGCTCTAATTCCTCTTTTATTTTTTCTCAGGGTATATATGGACGGATTTTCCTGTGGATAGTGAACAAGATCAACTCAGCCATTTTCAACCCAACTTCTCAAAAGCCTAAAAACAGATATCAGTCCATTGGGCTGTTGGACATTTTTGGGTTTGAAAACTTCAGCAACAACAGGTAGGATATTCATTTCCACTGGGAAGCTGAAACACAGCTGATGTCAAAGGAAAGAATGAAAAAACAGACATGTGCTCTTTCATTATCATCCTTATTCTCAGAAAAGCAGTGAAATTTCCAACACTGAATTTTCCCAAAGATGATCATGCACAAATTCCATTATTCTTCAGACTTGGTCATATTTCTGCCTCCTCCCCAACCTTCATTTTGGTGCAACCATTTTACATGTCTATTTCAAAACCTCAGGAATTTTCTCAGAGGAGATGGCTATGAAGCTGCTATGAGCAGGCAGCCACTATGTGAGGACGTAGTATGTCCCCATGTCTCTGTATCAAAATTTCTTGTTCCGTAGCATTTTTACAGTGTCTCCTGGGACACATTTTGTATATAGTACAAAGGAGGCCATGTTGTGCTTCCCATTTTTGCTCATGCTTCCATCTTGCTCAGGGTTTTCCTGTCCCTTTTTTTTGGCCTTTTTCATTTCTCTACTCTTAAGGACAGGTCAGCAAAATACCTGGTCAGTATAGCATTGTCCCACTGCTACCTCTCCTACTGGTGGTTTTAGTCCCAAAGCACCATTTCTGTTTGCCCTTCTCTACAGGGGCAGCAATTCTCTCAGTTGTATTGTACCATATCATCAGTACTCCACAAACCATCAGCACATATTCTGCAGTCTTTTCCAATCCATTTCAACTGATGCATCTTGCTTGCTTTCAACAAGATAATATTCCTCACTGACTTTTGGAACACGGCCTAGGATCTGTTCAGCCCATCTTCTATCTTTAGTGTTCTTGCCTATTTTTTTTATGCTATTCCCAAAGGCTGCAACCCACATGGGGCCTCACTATGGTGACCATTCCACAGGCACATGCACTGTGCCACAGCAATTATCAGGTAATGAAGTTCAGGTGCAGCATTAAGAAGTGATTAACAAAAGAAGTGGTAGAGCCAGTGCAAGTAAAAACACATCACACACTCATACAGTCAAGATATTTTCACAGTTATATGTTCCCCTTAATCTCTAGAGTTTCTTGAAACATTTACAAGATCTTTCCTTGCTTACTCAGCAACACTCAGTCATCAGTTGGCTCATTTCTGTTTATCATAGCAGAAGATACATGCCTTATATTGCTAAGATTGGCAACATGCAGTGTGGTGATCATTAACACTGTGGAATATAGCAATAGTATATCTGGATATGTATTTAATACAGAGAATAAACAAATACCATAGAGCAGTGCAGCACTGGCCAAGGATGACTATGGGTTCCCACCTTGTCCCCCCCCAGCTTTGAGCAGCTCTGCATTAACATTGCCAATGAGCACCTTCAGCAGTTCTTCGTGCACCATGTCTTCAAGCTGGAGCAAGAGGAATACCTTGCGGAGCACATTGCCTGGAATAACATTGACTTCACTGATAACCGCCAGGCTCTGGAAGTCATCGCACTCAAGCCTATGAATATCATCTCCCTCATTGATGAAGAAAGCAAGTTCCCAAAGGTAAATTTCTGCTTTCACTTGTAATGCCTGGCTTTGCACACAGCTCACAGGTAACATTGGTAACACCAGTTGGTAAAAAGTGGCTTTCTGATACATTATGAGAGTCAATGTCTTCTCCCCATAGATGTTTCTTTTAAAGTAGCTCACTATACAAATGCTTCACTGAGGAGACGGAGGTATGGACTCTGTGTACAGTGTGAACAGACAGAGACCTTTATTGTCATTAACACTGAAAATTTATACAATCTTCAAAGCTATGTCAATAAGCACGAGTTAGGCTGCGTTATAATAATTGGTTACAATGTACTGTGCATTTGCTGTCCACGTGCTCTAGTCTATACACTGATTGGCTAAGCTAAAAGATTAATTCTACCATCGGCATCCTGGTTATCAGTCCTTTAGTTCTTTAGTTCTGCAACTCTGCATTTTCTTGTTTACCAGCTGCCAACTTTCTTCAGTTGTTCTTTATTCTTCAATAAAGGACGTCATCGAGCTGAGATATCCATTTTCTGCCAAAAAGCAAAAAGCTCTCCACACTTCACTCCCTGCTGGAATGTGCTCTTTCTGGTACCTGGCTGTGGACACTCCTACAGTTGTTCCAGACAGAGAAGGAAGGAGTCTGGATCATTTTATGAGGGCTTCTTAGGAAATCTTTGAATTCACATATTGTTTGATTATTGTTCTGCTGTTGGTCTGGACTGCAGCTTGCTCTTTCTTCTCCGGGATGACAGGTCTAGTTGAGCAATGTCACCATTGTAGGGAAACTACAGGCCTGTCAGTCTGACCTCGGGAAGGTTATGGTGCAGACCATCTTAAGTGCCATCACACAGCATGTACAGGACAACCAGGTGACCAGGCCCTGTCAGCACAGGTTTATGAAAGGCACGTCCTGCTTGACTAGCCTGATGGTCTTCTATGAGAAGGTGACCCGCTTAGTGAATGAGCAAAAGGCTGTGGATGTTATCTACCTAGACTTTAGTAAAGCCATTGACACCATTTCCCATAGCATTCTCCTGGAAAAACTGGCAGCTCATGGTTTGGATGGGTAAAAAACTGGCTGGATGGCTGGGCCCAAAGAGCTGTGGAGAATGGAGTTAAATCCAGCTGATGGCTGGTCACAAGTGGTGTTCCCCAGGGCTCAGTACTGGGGCCAGTTCTGCTCAGTATCTTTATCAACGTTCTAGATGAGGGGATCAAGTGCTTGTTACTTGGGAGAAGGGACCAACACCCCCCTCACTACAACTTCAAGTTACTACTTATTCTGCAAAGGCCAGGCATCTCAAACAGGACATCAGAGATTAAAGTAGCGTCTGATTTCAGACATCCCTGCAGAGCATTTTCATAGTCTCCAAGGCATGTTGAGACTAAGCAGGATGGCTGGTACAGGAATCAAATGGCAATGTGGGCTTGTTAAGAAAAGCAAGCCCCTGCCTCAGCTCATTTGTAGACCTCAGGTAACAGTTTGAGAGTATCATGTGCAGGCAAACAGTTTTCCCGTTTCAACCCTAAGAAGAGGGTGGTCCTGCTGTCAGGACAAGAAAGCATCTCTTCTATGAATCCCAGAGCACATGACTTTTCAGATAGCACAGCACTCACTATGCCTAGCATGGGTCAGGGAGCAGAGCTAGCTTTTGAGCTCCAAAGATTTAGGAAATTTTCAGCACACCTGGTGATGTTAGTAATGTTATGGGCACTTGTGTACAGCCCTAAAATACCAGGTCTTATGCTCTGGTGGTGTGTTCTGTCCTGATGCTTCAGAGAAGGGTCTGTGTAAAAGGGAAGACATTTCTGGAACTACCTTCCTCCAGGCTTACTACATAAATAAGGGGTAAAATTTGAGATTTTGTTATGTCTGATCACCACTTCTATTTGTTCGCTGAGTGTAGGCCAGTGTTGGGGGAAATCTGCTTAACTGTCCTTTTTTGTCTGTATTTGTTTCTAGGGCACAGAGGCCACTATGCTTGTGAAAATCAATTCCCTCCATGGCAAAAGTAAAGTCTACATCCCACCTAAGAGTGACCACGACACCAAGTTTGGAATCAATCATTTTGCTGGGATTGTCTTTTATGAATCAAAAGGTGAGCCTATCTCTGCTGGATATGGAGGGTGAAGAGAAGGGCAAGACCTGCCCTGGATGTGTGTCACTCCAGGGTAGGGTTGATCTCAAGTCAGATCAGGCGGTCAGGAGGATTACTCTAAACTAATCTTCAAGTTACTGTAAATGAAGTGGATTTTAGCTAGACAGAGTGGTGCTAGAGCCAGCAGGCTGCAGAGGTGATAAGCTGATTTTGTTTCCATCCTATAGATTTCCTGGAGAAAAATCGGGATACTCTGAGTGCTAATGTAATGCAAGTGGTTCATTCCTCCAAAAACAAATTCCTGAGAGAGATTTTCCAGGTGGAAACAACCCCACCTAGTCTGGGACGTGGGACCATCCGGCATCTTGGATCTGACCATGCCTACAAGGTGTGCTTACTGGCACTGGGTTGCAGAAACAACTCATTCCTCCTTTCCATAAGGCTTTGGCTGTTCTTGAACTTTTTCTTTTGCACTGTCTCTGCAAATCCCTATTGCTTTTATTCAGCTCATTTCTATAAAGGAGTATGCAGGAAAAGTCAGGGTCTGGTGTTCATGTTGTAAACAAGTGTAATGTCAGCCCTGTCTCCCGGGCCTGCATCCCTGGATATGGTGTAGCCATGCCCAAGGCTGTCACAGAGGTGTGAGTCACACTACCTCCCCACATGTTGTCATCAACTGGATGGGTTTGCTCTCTGACTGGACATCCATGCTGCATCCACATTGCCAGGATGGGTGTAAATTAGGAAGAGGAAATTGTAGTTCCAAAGGTTCATTGGAAGGCACCAACCAGAGACCCCTCTGCAAAGTACCTGTCCAGAAGCCAGCAGCTAAACTGCTGCCATACTGCGCGTGTAGCCAGCCCATAACACCAAGGGGTCTGACTTGGCAACTGGCAGGTGAGTCCTGACCTTTTTGATCTTGCAGAGGGCTGACAGGCCAGCATAATGGTGCAAAACGCTGTGCTGTCACAGAAAGATACTCTTTCCTCCTCCCAGAGACACCTGTAGACAGTCTCACTACCCTGCATATTGATGCAACTTTACCTCTCCCTCCTGGCCCAGAGGCTTTGTGACAGTTCATGATGGCTAACTCACAGTCACCTGTGCCTAGGGGTGTAGGAAGCCCTGTGCTGTGCCTAGTGAAAATGAGGTTGTAAAGCACAGTGGACTGAAAACAGTGTGGGCCAGAGTTCAGGTTCTCTGTCCTGCTGCAACTTTCACATACCTTGATTTCTGAGCATTTAACTATGCAGTGTCATCAATGTGGGAAGGTACTTTTGCTTTTAATGTTTATATCTTCGCGTTTTCCTGTCAGGGTACAGAACAAACAGTCAACTTGCTATCTTACCTATTCTCCTGGCATTGTTTTCTGATCCTGTCCTTTCTTTCTCAGTCTTTATCCCAATGTGGCTTTCTGCTGTCCAGAACATCTGGCCATGGACAGGTAAACATCCTGGGGGAGAAAGAAATGGTACAAGTAGCAACATAGAACTGGCTTAGCATCTTTTAAATCCTATTAATACTTTCAGATTAAATATCAGATCTACCTACATTGCCCTAATGCTCTAATGTTTTTTGTCTCTATAAATAAGGTTGTGTTATTGAAAAAAAAACCCTTTCCTTACATTTATAAAGTACAGCAGCATATCAAGAAAGGAGATACTAAATGTGGGCTACTGCCCATTTCAAAATGCACAGAAGTTAGCTAGTTTAGTCAGTATTTACCCCTATTAATTTCAAATCAGTTGGGCTACTGTTGAGAAGTCTACAGAAAGAATAGTAAATGAAGTGCCAGAAAAAAACTTTGCTGTCCTGAGGTCTCAGAGTTGCTCTCCTGACACACGAGGGGAGAAAAGTCACCACCATCTTAACAACAAATTCAGCTTTAGCAATGTTATATGTGTGAGATCATGAGGACATAGGCTTCAGACTTGTGTGGCCATCCCACTGATTTACTAGCACAGCAGAATGGCCTCTAAGATCTGGGAGGACAAATTTCTTTTAACTCTGATACAGCTTAAACCACGACACATGTATATGCTGTTATCATATCGACTTCAGACAGTCGCTTGCTAGCCCGAAGATGCATCAGAGCTGCTAAGAGACATTCCCAGGAACTGTTTTCCAAAGGCATGAGTGTTTGGTCGCTGGAGGGCAGCATTACCCTGTAGCTGAAGCAGAAGATGGCAACTTGAATGTTAAAAAGGGCAGTTTAAACGTAAGAACCATCAGAATGAACTACTGTAAAGACCGTGGAAGTGAGGGCAGACACTGGACTTTAAATTATTTATTTGGAAAAAAACAAAACAAAAAAAAACCAAACCAAACCAAAACAACCCCACAACCCACAAACAAAAAAAACCTAGCTGTATTGTGCTACCATGATTAATTCCATGCCTGTATGTAAAAGGCCAGTGGAATCCTTTTGTTAATTGAAATCTGCACTGTTGTCACTGTAATTTAAAGTACCCCTAAAGCATACTAGGAGGTAGAAGCTTAGGGCTATTGTGATGATCTGTGTGAAAAAGACAGAGGTGGAACCATGCTTTCAGACAAGCTGGGGAAGTGAGGAGCTAACAGCAGTAGCCAAGTGCCATCCCTCCAGGGTTACACTATTGCAACCGGGAGCAAAATTCAACCCTGGAGCAGTGAGACATAAAGCACTTTTTCTGCAGCTGTAAATGGAGTAGCTCTTACCTTACCCTCCAGTAAAAGTTTGCCTTTTCACTGCTTACTGTAATATTAATGAGCAAAGCAATCAGACATCCTAATCACTAGGGTACTGTTCTGGATCTTTAGCATTCCTAGCTACGAGATGACAGCAAAATGTCTGGCGTGGAGGTTATTATTGCTGTGGGAGTGGCTGTTTCTCACCAAGCGTTCAGGAACACACCCATGAATAGCTTGGCACCCAGGCCCTGCACCAAGTGCAGCCTCGGATGGAAAAGACAGGCCTATGTGAGCTTGTGTGGATGAAATTTCTCCCACCACAGCCACCCCCACTGCTACAATGTAGTGCCCAAGTAGGTGAAGGAACCCAGTAGGGTTTCTTTGCAAGAATAAACACAAATTAATAAAATGCAGATGGTCGATTTAGCGCCCATGTAGATAAATACTTTTTTTCCTGGAAGTTCTGTGATACTGCTACATCCTACAAAAATACAAAGTTTATTATTTGCCCCCCCCCCCGATAGTCAATGATGTAGCAGTCAGCATGTGCTTACTCTTCCCAGGGCGCAGATACCACCAAACGGCTCTCTACTCTGGGAGGACAGTTCAAGCAATCCCTGGAAAAACTAATGAAAATCCTTGAGCAGTGCCAGCCATACTTCATCCGCTGCATCAAGCCAAATGACTACAAGAAACCACTGGTAATGTTTTAACAATATGAGGTCTTGTCTTCAGTAAACTTTTTAATGAGAAAAAGCTGTCAGTTGCTGTGTAGCATTTTACATCTGTACTTCAGCCAAGAGCTGGAGTACAGGCTATTACTGCAATAAAGAGTGGTAGATATAACATTGTTAATTTACAAAAACATCTATAAAAAGCATCATAGGGTAATAGATGGAAAAAATCCACATAGCTGTATTCCTGAGAGGAGTTTTAAAAGCCTTTCCTGTAAAGATAAAAATAAAACTGGAGAGTTTTTAGCCCCTCAAGAAAGGGAGGACAAACAAAAACCATTAAGATCCAACAATGATGATCATACTATGAAATAGCCTGAGAAAGAACAGGAGAGCTCTTGGTGTTTGAGAGAGGGGTGATGTGGCTTAATTTGACACTACAGAAGAGGAGTGGGTTTGTCATTAAGATGTTTGTCTGGAACTCGGGAGATCATGACTCAGTTCTACACTAAAACCTTGTGTTAGTCAAGTGAGTTAATTTGTAAAGTACTGCATGTGGCTTAGGGAGCCTATTTTTAATCTGCATTACAAGAAACTCTCAGAACGCATGCTGTGCTTTGCATGGCTATGCCCAAAGGGCCTTAGTCGCTACTGCAGTTATTCACACCTGCAAAAAGATATGAACAGTTTATTGTGCCTCTGAAATTGCAGTTCTAGAATTGAAAATGGTTGCTAAAGCCAGACTGAAGTTAATGGACTGTTTCCACTGCTGATAAACACAAATTGAAACACCCTTTTGGGGGGAGAGGCATAAACCTGTAATGAATTAATTTATTGCACTAAACAAATAAGAAGCACAATTTTAAAAAGCATAGTAGGCCATTTTGCAGGCACTGTGAAGTTGGAGGTTAATAGATATGTTTTGAAGAATGCTGCATGTGTAGCTTCTTTCAGTGCTAAGTCTCCTCCTTGTCTGCTTTCTCTTTCAGTTGTTTGACCGGGAGTTGTGTATCAAACAGCTGCGATATTCAGGGATGATGGAAACCATTCAAATCAGGAAATCTGGCTACCCGATTCGCTACAGCTTTGAGGAATTCTTTGAGAGATACAGAGTTCTCTTGCCATGGTCTGTTCGAGAACAGGTGTGTAAGCAAAAACTTGCTTTAAGGCTAATCTAACTTTTCCTTATGAGGCTTTAGTCATGCAGTCATGTTCCTCTTTTTCTTGACCATTTGAGCTGAACCACTTTCATTCACTCTACTGTCAGCCCAGAGGTCTGTAAGACCTCATCTGTTTCTGTTCTTCGCCCTTTGAAATGCAGGGCAATAGATCCTTACATAGTACAGATGCTGTGTTTCACAACCAAGCCCTAACATGATGATGCTTTTGCACATCAGCTGAAGAATGATGCTCGACAGAGCTGTATCCACATCTCCGAAGCAGTGCTGGGCAAGGATGAAAGCTGGCAAGCTGGAAAGACCAAGATTTTCCTTAAAGTAAGTAAACAGGAGTTTATTGTCTTTTCTCCCAAACAACTGGGTGCTTCACAGTATTGCTTGTGCAAGAGTGGTGACCCAGGAGGACTGGGTTCTCTTATAAACTCTCTCTTGAATCTGAGGCTGGATTTGTTCCTGAAGGCTGAATAATTTAACGGACACAGATTGGTGTAGGAGAGGCTGATCCTGTGCTCCAGTGTGGCAGCTGAAACAGTACAGTGCAATGTATTGGTCTCTGCTCAAGCCTTGAGCATAAAAAAGAACTGGGTACCAGCACACTGTCGAGGGGACCTCCTTGACAGTAGCATCTCCCCAGGTAAAAAAGGTCTTACTGCAGGCAGATTCTCTGCTTGTTTATGGCTAGAGCCATGGTGGGGTCAGGCGGTGTGCACTCTTCTTATCACAGTTCCATAAATGTGTTTTAATCACAGCTTGCACTACATCATGCTGCTTTGGGGCCTCTTTCAGACCATGTGTCCAGTTTTCAGAAGTTGTGGGGGTGTCTGCTCAGCTGGCACACCCACACTTTCTTTTAACAGGATCATCATGATACAGTATTGGAACTGCAACGCCAAAATATACTCACAGGCAAGGTTCTTCTTATCCAGAAGGTGATGAGAGGATTGAAAGACAGGTCAGTGACCTTACAGAAGGGAATTTGCTTTGGTTTGAAGCAGTAATCTTTGTGATGCAGTTTAACACACTCTGTGAAGCATTTTGGAGAATGAACTGTATCAGTCCATACCTTCCAATAGCCCTAAATTCAGTACTCATCGTGTAACAGTGTACGATGCATCTAAGCAGATTTTGTGCAAAGATTTGTTCTGGCTCAGTTTCTTTATTCTCATGATGCTTTTCAACATGCAGGGCTCTGGCACATGCAGCTTGTATGAAGTGGAAGGGGTCGAAGGAGGATTTTCACTTAATGTTTCTAGTAAACAGTAGGCATCCGGAAAACAGGAAATCCCCACGGACCCTGTCCTTCTCAGAGCTACAAGAACTCTTATTTAGGATGCTTCTTTGATACAAGACACAGAAAAGAATCAGATAGAAACTAATTAGTCCTTCTCTTTGCCAAAGTTCTTGCATTTTGTCTGGTTTAGTTTGAAATATATTCGGAAGTGAAATTTAGCCATTGTCAAGTAAATGTTTGTCCTCATTAAATGCTTTACATCATGATTTGTACTTAGCAGTCTTGTATCCCCCAACCAGAACCATGCTATAGGCCTGAATCCTGGTTTGGTTTAGAAATATTCCTGACAGTAGAAAAACAAGAAAAACCATGACACAAACACCTCAAAACTTTTCCTGTTTTTTCAAACTCTGCTTGCTATCTAACAGAGTATCACCTCTCCCTAAAAGACTCACCTTGCTTTTATTTTTAAACCATCAGAGCTATGTACCACTTCTGACAGCCACAGTGTGACAGATTTTACCATGGGAAGCTCATCTTGCTCAGATGATCTCCTAGTCCTGGCAGTTAGGACACTGGGGAGCAAGTGGTCATCAGAGGGGGAATTAACTTATCCAGGTTTGATGCAAGGGCTTTTTCAGTTCTTACAGAGCTCTCCTACCACAGCAGTGAATTTGGTCTGCAGTTGCTATGAGTATTTTTGAAGCATTAAGGGCAAAGTCAACTTGGATGTATCATGGTGGATTAGTAATACTTTCTCATCCTTTCTACTAGCAGATGGCTAGCGAAGCAAATAGAAAAACACTCTGTGAGCTCAACTGATTCATGGTGCTTCTTCACTTCCAGAACGAGCTGAGCCTGGGTGAAATCTAAGGCTTTTATGTACAGAACAGGTCAGGCAAAATGGCCTACTCTGGCCTCTTCATCAGCATGAAAAGCTGACAAAATGTTTGAGTGAGGATAATTTTGAAGCATGTGGTACAAAAGTATCTGACCAGGCTAATATTCCTGCTACAATACAATGCTTTTCTTGGACTATTCAGAAGCAGGAAGAACAGCCCTTGCTGAGATTCAGACCTGCCCTGGCAAGATGTCTACTAATAATTGAGCTAAGTAGTTTAACAAGAGCTTTCCTGACTCTAGTGTTCCTAGACAGCAGACAAAACCGAGATCAGAGTGTAGACATCCCATAAAAGGAAAAATATGCCACCTTCTTCTTTACTATTATCATAAGAAGCAGCAGAAATAACCTATTGTTTGTCACCTCACTTGTCTGTCTGCTTAGGAAGCATTTTCTGAAACAGAGGAAGTCTGCTGTAGCCATACAGTCAGCCTGGAGAGGCTACTGCTGCCAGAAGGATTTCAGAATGGTAAGATGCAGGTGTATATATAGATATTTTTTAAAATATATATATATATACACACACATATATATTTTTTTGTGTGTTTATGTACTATGCCCTGCCAGACTGAGTGGGGAATTAAGAATGAAAATATTCACAACTGAAGGGAGGAGAGGCAAGATGTCAGGCTGTAAAGAAGGGTGCAAAGTCCAAGAAGGGCTCTGTGACCTCTCAGGGCTTGCTGAGCCTGTGACATTTTTGCTTCTGATGAAATACTAACCCACTGGCAGGCCTGGCTCCAGTGACCTGAAATATGAGTGATCTCACAGTTCTGGTCAGGAGTCCAAGGCCAGCATTTGTGTGTCACCACCATGCTGTGAGCAAAGTGTCTTCCACAACTGTTACAGGAAAACTGGGAATCTGTTAAAAATTACCCAAAACTCCATTGTATCAGTCTCACATTATTAAACATATTGTCTGATCTTCTATAGATGGTGGGTTTTCTGGGTGAGGAAAGCTACACCATATTGGGGGCACTCACATATTGTGTATTCGTGCAGCAGGGATTACTATTAATATATCCCATACATCCCAGTCGCGAGGGGCAGGAGAAAAAAATGCCAGTTTCAGTCAGAAATGTTTTCTATTCTGCATCAGTGATGTAATTCCTGTCTGAAGACCCAGGCTGTTGTCCTGCACTCTGCCCCATCCTGCTCTGTTGCTTCTCTTGGGATTCTCCCACCCATCTGTCCAAGGATGTGCCTTTTTTTTTTTTTTTTCCTCATTCACTTGGCTTTATTTCTGCTCTCTTCCTTCTTCATAATTCCAGGCTATCATTGTCACTTCCTGGAGTCACTCCCTAGAACAGGTCCCCAAAAGAACTCTGTATAATCTAGCTAAAAGCCTTTTACTGGCAGAAATTAAAACATAAAGGGCAGTATCACACTAGCCCCTTCCAGTGTCTTTATCCAGTTACTGAATTTGTTATCTTCTACTCATTGCAACTTGCTCCCTGTCTCAGTGTTTTTGAACCATAATCACTTGTTTTTTCTCCACCTCCTATAGGTTATGCTGGGTTTTGGGCGCCTGCAGGCGCTGTGCCGGAGCCGGCAGCTTGCTAAACAGTATGAAGCAACACGGGCTTATATCATCAGGCTTCAAGCCATGTGCCGTGGTTATCTAATGCGTCAAAAGATAGCAGAGCAGAAGAAAGCTGTATGTGTTATACAGGCATATGCAAGGGGCATGTTGACACGCCGAATCTTCCAGAGGATGACAAGGGAGGTATGTTCACAGATACCTTGTGAATATGTTGTTTCTATGAAGTTCTGATAGAGATTTAGTGACCAGCAAGTGTTGCCGTAGCATAGCACTGGATGTGAATATTTATTTTGGGATGTTTTATTTTGAGCTCTTGTCAAATATGAAAGCACAGTTTTAAGCAGTCTGATCTTGTTTACATTTGCTTTCTGTGTTCATTATCATGGATCAAAATTTCACTGACAGAGCTGAAACGTTTTTGACAGAAGGAAGGAGAAAAGATAAGATGTGCATGCGTATCAGTCACTCCTGTGAAGGAAAGATAAATTTCTACAGCAAGGCCTGATAATGTCACTTAGGGATCCGTCCAAAAGGGAATCCTAGTGCAGTGTGTCTTGGTATGCGCTACCAGAGAAATCCTGTACTTACTACCTTGGCACATGGGAGGCCTTTCAATGATTTCCTTTCTGTATCAATGCTGTACAAATGAGACAAACCCAGTTTGTAGATTTCTGCCTGTGGTCTGTTCCTTAAAATGCCAAATCTAGAACTGAGTCTGTGTGGGGATAAAGTCCTGGTGTGGACAGCTTGTTAATGGCAGAAGGGAACTGGCTCAGCAGTTGTGGAAACAGTCACAGATTGGTCCTGTTGTGCACAGAACAAGTATAAGCCGGAAGCCACGAATATCTGCTTAGAAGAAGAGAAACATCTCATCCAAGTCCTTGGACCAGTGAAAGGAAGGGAAGAAGCTATTGTGATTCCTCTGCCAACATATATACCTAGAAAAGGTAAATATGTTGGCAGAGGAACATTGAATGCTGTGTTCCTTGGCTGATAAGAGAGCTTGCCCAGCTCACACCTGTGGACTTGCTCAAAGATCTGAGCACCGCTATATTTTAATAAAAAGCAGACATAGTTGTAAACCTATTTGCTATAGCAATAGGCTGAGGCAAACATCCGAGGCATATTTCTGTTTGCAGTATGAGCTGGCACTTTCGCCAAACATGCACAATGCTATTACAGCTCTCTGACACAAAACATTTAAAAATTTTAAATAATGTGGGTTTTTCTGTTGCTAGGAATTCCTGTTTTTCCTATCTTGTCGATAAAGTTCTTGAAAAGTTGCACATAATTTCCAATAGGCCAATAGTCTATAAGGACAGCTGTAAGAGCAAGGCCCTGCTGCTAATGTGCTAGGTCTTTGTGACTGCTTAGCAGAATCAACATTTGACTTCATATGCCAACACTGCACTAGCAGAGCTGGACCTTGTTGTCATAACACCTTTGTAATAGTATTTCATCCTTGCACCCATTCATTCTAGCAGAATGATGTTCCAGTCATGCCTAACCAGCTTCTATGTTTAAAGGAACACCTGACTACTCTGGAGAGAGAGGAGGCAGAAGCAAGACAAAGGAGGAATGTTCTTGCCAATAAACCAACAAATCATGATGTTCTGAGTGACCAAGAAATGGTGGACAAAATTTTTGGGTTTTTACCTTCTATGATTGGAGGCCAAGAAGGACAGGCTCCTCTGGGCTTTGAGGTACAGAGCTTCAGACTGGTAATGGGTCACGTTCATTTCTTGTGTAAGTCCATTGACTGTTGGAACTCCATCAGTGGTCAGTTCTGTTTCGTGAACTCTGTACAGTGAAATAATCACCCAAATTAGTCATCCAGACAGTCTCCTCAGGATCTGCTTTCAGAGATCAGTTCCCAAAAGTTTTTGGTCACATGCAGTTTGGGGACTATGTGTCTTCAAAAGCTACTGCACATTTGTTTCTCTGGCCCAGCAGACACTCACCAAACAGTGCCATTCTCTACATTTTGGCATGAACCACATGTTCTGCTGACAGTGCGCTCAGTGATTTTCCAGCTGAAGCAAGCTGGAAGTTCATGACTCAAGTTACCCCATGTTCTTAAAAGCAAAATTTGAGATATATTGGTCCTGACAGCTGTGGAGAATGGAATTGGGTAGGGAGAGGTAGGCAGAGTAGAGTGGTCTGGGTTAGTGCAGGATGTGAGCAATGAGATAACGCCTGGATTTTCCATCAGCAGTGTCCTTGCTGAAGCCCAAACTGGAAGGTCAATGGAATAGATGCATCTCACAGGGACAAGCTCTGAGTCATAATGATCTGTTGGTAGCAGCTGAAAATGGCTTTGAGGTTAGCAAAAAAAAAAAAAAAAAAAAAAAAAGAACGAAAAAGAACATCCAATAAGAATATCAGAGTACAGGTAAAGAAAATGTGCTTCTTCTTCATGTTCTGCACAGGACTTGGAAACAAAGTCTAACAAGCTGAATGAGGTGGACCTGGACATGGTTCCCATGAGCGTGGAGCTAGAAGAGGAAGCAGATGGCTTGGAAGAGTACACCTTCCCAAAGTTTGCAGCTACTTATTTCCAGGGGTCTTCTACACATACACATATCCGGAGACAGCTGCGGCACCCGCTACTCTACCATGAGGACAAGGACAATGTCCTGGTATCATAGCTCACCCATCTCTCTGCTCTTGTTAGTGCTGCTGGTCAGTAAGTTAGGACAGAAGGGGGAGGCCAAGGACTCCAATTTTCCCATTGAACCGTAGGGGGATTGAGGAAGGGTGTTCTTGATGCTAAACAGCCTTGCAGGATGGAGGATTCCACACTGCAAAAACTTCACTTTCTAGTTCTGGGTGTGAGGGCTCCTGGAGGAGTTCACTCCACTGCTTATCTGTCCAAGAGGATGACTGCAGACCGCAGCCCAGCACAGGTTCCTCCACCTCACCCCAGCCACAGCGCACCTGCAAGGTGCCAGTAAAAGGGAATGGTGAGAGCTCATCAATCACAGAGCAAACCTCACATTCCCACTAGAGATGCATCCCCCTCTTTTAGCAAGAGAGTGTTGTGAATGTTGCTTTCTTGTTGTTTGACATGAAAATAAACTGGTGTAAATGGCAGGAGGAGATGGGAATTTTAACAATTTGGGTAAAGGAAGAAAATGCTCTCATCTAAACAGGCAGCAATGGCATGAGGCCATTGGTTCTCTTGGCAGTGTCTGACTGTGATTTCTGTCACTACAGGCTTCTCTAGTTGTGTGGGTTATCATCCTGAGGTTCATGGGGGACCTGCCAGAGCCAGCAATGTTTGCCAAGAATGCCACCACCAACAGTGGCTCCATGATGACACATATATATGACACACTTGGCAGGAAAAACCAGGTCCAGTTCAGGAATGACAGCCCAAATATGGTAAGAAGAGCAGGCTATGTTTGTATTTTCATTTGCTTACCTTGGTTTCTGTGCTGTTCTATCAGGAGTGAACCCTTTCCTGCCACTGTAATTGAAATGCCAGAAGTGCAAAAGGGCCCCTGTCAGTCCTAGAAGGACACTGCGGCTCCTTCTGGCAGGAGGAGTCAAAGGCATCTTTCTGTCCTTAATGAATCATTCTTGCTGTGCATTAAACTGATTTTCTAAAATGGTAATGTGTGTTGTAGAGAGAAAGCGGAAAGTATAACAAGATTTCAAAGGGGATCTCTTCCCTGAAGCTGAAACGGTCATCCAAGTTGACAGGGAAGGTAAGAGGTGGAAATAAATTGCTTCCCTTAAGTCTTCTTGCCTGGGACCTTGTCTTCACCTTTTGACAGATATTATGTGACAAAAACCTCCCAGCTATGTATGAAACTACCTCATGTGCACTGCTGTCATTCATCCTCTGGCAGACGAACTCCATCCCTTCCCGATGGAGAGTGACCTCTGAACACAGGGAACAATTTATTATTGAGAATTGTTGGTATTACAGAACAGTTTGCCCAAAGCCCTGATCAGACTGAGAACCATGACGTGCTTAGGGCTGTACAGGACAGTACAAGAGAGTTCTCCTAGCCAGTAACAGTGGTGTAACACTGCATTTTATAAATTGAGAGGGAAATATGGCCTATTCCTAACTGCCTCTGCACTGAGAAGAAAGAGTTTTAGCCAGAAAGATAGACAAGCAATGTCTCATTTCTGGGAGAGCTGCCTGGTAAGAGGGGAGGTTTCTAGAGCAGTCTGGGGTTCTGCTTGGTTTCTTTCAGGTAACAGACCAGCTGAGAAGTGGAGAAGAGGCTTTCCAAGAGGACAGCTCGATCTCCGAAAGACCTATGTCCAACCTAGAAAAAGTGCACTTCATTATTGGCAATGCAATTCTGCGTCCTGATATCAGGTAGGAAATTTGTACCTCCTTCCTAGGACCAGGCACTCATTACATCAAGGAAACCCAGCATCCCCTTTCCACAGTCCCAGGGCATTTTCCAAATGCTGGAAATGTCTCACATTTCATCTCTGGGGATTCGTGACTGAAAGCCCAAGCCAGTCACATAAAACTGAGATTGTAGGCCACACAACCCTTCTGAGAATGGTTCACCTTTATCAGAGGGGACAGAGAAGAACTCCCTTACTGCCTTTTCTGGTATCTTCATGTTGTAGTTTAGGTCAGCTGCCTCCATGTATGGCTTTCTGAATACCCCACAGATATGCAATAGGGGCAGAACTCAGGGCTGTAACCCAATAACACCTGAAAGTGGAACACAGCCCTAGTATGAGGGAGAAGAAACAGAAGTGCAAGAAATATGTAGTTAATGTACATTAGGTGTATGAGAGGTGTTCATAACCTCAGTTTCCCAATAGCCTGTTGTCGAGCCCACAAGCAATGTCCCCAGATCAGAGGCAGTTGAAGGTGGCTTGCTGTGTGTATCAGCCACTAGGGGAAGAAATCCTGCTCACAAGCGGTGTGAGGCTGGCCCTTAGGTCAAGCATGGTGTGAGGATAAGACAGAAGATGGTTGGTTCTGACCTGACCCTGTGAATTCTCTTCTCCATTTTAGCTTATGCAACACACTTCTGTAACAAAGACCATAGGCACAGGCTCTGCCTTGACCTCTGTCAGTGGCTGGCTGCATTCCTCTCTGCATAGTTGCTTTGTTTCAGTCAAGATGCTCCCCGAAGCAGATCCTCAGCTGGCAAAAATTGCCTTCAGTTTTTTCTATCATAACAACCACAGGCTAAGTATCTGCTCCTTCAGCCTGTGTTTCATCATATGTTTTATCTGAGAACAAAAACCTTATCCACCTTGTGCCCTCCCACATCAGATTTGCCAACTGTATGTTCCAAGAGTCCAGAAAATCTAATATAATTTTTTAAGGAGTGGTTTTGTTTGTATGCAGATCTTTGCATCTGTTTCCCATATGTTCTTGCTGCGAGCAACTTGCATTTTCAGAAGCTTGCTCTGAAGCACCCTTTCCTCCATTCCTGTCCAAGGACTCACTCCAAGTTTACTCAAAATATTAAATTAAGCAGGGTGTCCCCCTATCCTTATCCCCAAATCCACATATGAGCAGACAAGAGCCATGCAATACAAGCTACATACTGTAGAGGGCTTAGAACAAGTTTTACATGTGGAGGGACAGCAATGCCACTTCCCAGCTGAATGACCTGGCAGTTGCTATCCCTGCACAGTCCCTCCGCTTGCCACAGGAGGTTTTCCAGCATGGGAATTGCACTTGAACTACTCAAGTAACAAGGGGTGGCAAAAGGCACTAAGTATACCTTGAGCCTTTCCTTGCCAAAGCCAATGACACAGTTATTTCCTGTGGTATATTACAGGTGGTATCCTAGCTAAGGTGGTTAAACCTAGCTCAGATCTATTTCATCATGCTGCAGACATGCCCAGCTTGCAGTGGAAATGTAGCCAAAGACAGTTCAGACAGTGAATCATTATCTGTTGCTTTCACATGTTTTATTACAGAGATGAGATTTATTGCCAGATTTGCAAACAACTCACTGAAAACAGCAACAGGAGCAGCTATGCTCGAGGCTGGATCCTTCTGTCACTTTGCCTTGGCTGCTTTCCTCCTTCAGACACATTTGTGAAGGTACAGTACTAACCTTTCCTACAGCAGCTTAAATGCCTTAGCTGATCTAGTTTCTTGTGTATTTTGATGTTTTCATATAGACAGCCACATAAACTGTTTGGCTGCCACAGCAGCTGGTGCTGTGTTTTTTGCAGAAACTATCTCATCTTATATGCTTATCTGGGAATTTAAATAAATTGTTGCTGTATTCACATTTTATTCTTTTTCATTACATGACATATAAGTTGGATTCTGCTGTTGGTCACAGCCCTCATTTTGGATCTGTAATCTGCAAAGAATCTGACAAATTCTAACCTCTCCAGTTCTACCTTTCCAACATCTAAAAGGTGTCTCCAATTACAGTGCTAGTGATTAAATATACTCAGGAGGCAAGTATAAAATCCCCCCCCTTATTTTACTTGTTCTTACACTCCAGGACCTACAAAATCCAACAGAGATTTGGGCTTTTTCATCATTTATCATTCCTTAATTTCCAAATTTAAATGGATGATAAATCTACTTCACCATAGGAAGAAAAACCAACAACCTGTGGCTCCAACTCGACATCAGCCTTCCTCCTAGATCTTAGAGGCAAACAGAATCCAGAGATATGCCTGAATCATCATCCTTGCTTTATTGACATTCTAGCTCACACGATTAATCTAATCATAAATGCTGTTAAATGGACACTACTTGGAACAAGCCAGACACAAGCCATAGACATATTTCAACACCAGTCTTCATGCAAAGACTGTGAGCCATGCAGAATTCATGAAAGACATGACTATACCCTATCTCTAGGAATATTCTTAATCATTAAAATAGCCAGGTGACTGACCCATGCTTGAAGTGAATAGAAGTATGTAAATACAAGTCCATGCTTACACTATATCACCCAAGATATCAGAGCCATACAGACTCCAAATGCTCTGTTTATCCAATCCTTCTCTTTCAATGTCCAATCTTAATTATGGACTTCAACTATTGATATTGTCAGAGAACTTAGTGAAACTAAAAGTAACCATCATCATTAGTCTTAACCTGCCATTAGCCCTCTTCCCAGCACTTTTATTCATATAGAATGTCACAAGACTTCAGGCTTTTTAACTGGAAACACTAAGCCTTGCTCTAACATAATGATAAGAGCAGTCTCCACTAATATTTATTGTGTAATTAAACAGGGTGAATAGACTGACACAAGTCTTCCTTTTTAGAGTAAAAGCTCTGCAGAATGAAGGAAAACTTGGTGTTTCAAACCTCTTTTTTCAAAACACTAACTCCAATACCTAACCTTTAATGCTTTCTGCTGAACTGTAAGCTAACTGATCATTCTAATCTAGTACATCAGCTGCAGAAGGTTTCTAAAGTTTTATGAGGATCAGAGTTTCCTAACTTCTTCTTATGCTCTGTGCATACAGTACCTGTTGAATTTCATCCACCATGGCCCCACAGGCTATGCACCATATTGTGCCGAACGTCTGAGACGTACCTACATCAATGGAGCACGGACTGAACCTCCGAGCTGGCTGGAACTTCAGGTAGAAAATCCGTTTTTACTTAATTATATTGATCTGTGTCATTTTATACTGGATTGCATTTACTAACCTGTGCTAACAGATCTTCCTAAGTCCAATCATAGAAATCAATTGCACAGGGGAATTGAAGACCAGCTGCCTTGGTCTGGGCAGCTTCTTAGATACACCTCTTCTGGCTATTCAGTTAACCTAAACCCAGTGGAGGATGTAAGTTAAAAGATGCAACACACGATTTGCAGGGAGATACCCCCATCCACTCAGGAACCACAGGCCAGAACCACCTCCTGAGGGAAGCTCTTACCATCATTTGTGGAAAGAAGTGAGCAGGGCTTATGCTTTTAAAATGGAGGGAGGAAGTGTGATGATAGAGCTGTATGGCCCTCCCCCTTCCTTTAAATGTCACCCTAGTAATTAGAAGTCACACACACATGCACACACACACACACACACACACACACATTCCTCTTTCAAGTGAAGACCTCAGTTCAATTTCTTCCTAAATCTGAGTGACCCTATTGCCTAACACTCATCTCCCTGGGCAAAGTACCTGCTGCAGACCATCTCTCCACTGATGCCTGTAAGGCTGTACTCAAAAGTCATCAGGCCAAACAAGGCTCACAAAAGGTCTATCAGTCTGCACTGTTACATGATAATCAGCTCCGCTGAGCTGTGGGGAGGAGAGAATGAGTACAGTGCTGCTCCAGAGATGTAAATGATATTTAAGATTCACCATGCACTGAAGAAACTGTGTGAGCATTGGAGATTCACTTAAAGATTGTTGACTAGGTTGTACAGTGTGTGGAGCTCTTAAATCTAAATGCCTTCTTCATTCTTCACAGAAAAGTAAGGTTTGACCATAATTTCTTTCTTTCATTCAACTCTGATTTACAGGCAACAAAGCAGAAGAAACCCATTATGTTTAATGTCACCCTGATGAACGGCCAAAGCATCACTGTCCCTGCAGACTCTGCTTCCACTGCCAAAGAGATCTGTCAGTTCATAGCAGATAAAACCAAACTGAAGGATGTGTTTGGTTTTTCACTGTACATTGCTGTGTTTGATAAGGTAAAGTGTAGAAAAATAGAATGAAAGCTCCCTTCCCTTTCTGTGGAGTTGCTGCGGTCCACCCAGACTCACTGAGGACTCCCTCTGACTTCTGGAAGCACCTCCATCCCAGTCCTACACTCAAGCTAGTACTGAATCCCAGCATTTAATAATCCTAGTCTGCCTTTCTGTTGGCTGACCACTTAGCAGTTCCTGCCGCAGGCCTGTAAGGTTTCCTGTGCCAGGTCACTGACAGTGTCCCTTCTGCCATGCATGGGCAGAGCAGCACCGTGGTGTCCTGCCATGTTCTGAGACCCCACCTGCTCACCATGCGTGCAGCACTGCAGAACCGTGGGAGCAGGGTGAGACGAGCAGGTCTCACACACTAGGGATCTCTGCTCAAAGATGTATTTCCCACCTGAATTACTGCACATTACTGTCTTGTTCTGTGTTACAGTGCTGCTGATGCAGCCCCTATCATGTGGCGTTCAAAGCCAAGGTCCTTGCCAGGGCTGCTACTGTTCGTTCACATTTTAGCTTCTCCTTCCCTTTGCTTATTTTTCTATGGTAATGCTGTAAAACAGACATGCACAGCAGGATGAAATCTTGCTGCTCAGTGTTAGCCATCAATAGCAAAGAAATTAATTCAGAGATCACATCTTTTGTTTAGATTACAGAAATTTTTGTGGATGTGCTTAAGGGGATATGCAGGGGATAAGCAAAGTACAAGGAGACAAATAGAAGATTGCAAACCAAAGCTGCTTCATCTTGCTGCTTTGTCTAAACATCCAACTTATTTTTCCTAATACCATCCCTGTGCATAAAAATGCACACTTGGACATCCATTTGCTTACCTTTTCAGATTTTTTCTTGCTGTCAATAGACCAGGAGCTTTGGGTTTGCTGTCCATCACTCAGATCCAAAGCAGGCATGCTAGTAAATGCAGTGTCCCTTGTTCTAGGTCTGGTCACTGGGTGGGGGACGAGATCATGTCCTGGACGCCATCTCTCAGTGTGAACAGCTAGTGAAGGAGCGGGGCACACATGAGCGCAATGCACCCTGGCGGCTCTACTTCCGAAAGGAAATCTTCACCCCCTGGCACAACTCCCAGGAGGATCCTATCAGCACTGATCTCATTTACCACCAAGTCATTCGTGGCATCCGGTTTGGAGAGTACCGTTGTGAGAAGGTGGGTCTCGTTATTCATCCTCCTAAAGAGACAAAACTATATTATATTAACATTTCCCACATTAAAAGGCAGGAAGATGAATGAAGTTTCTAGTGGCTGTGAACAACCCTTCCCTTCTTAATGAACAATTCCTGTCCAGGTGATTATGCCAGCTATCCACAGGCAGCTGTAATTAATAGCGCTTTTTTTCTGCAACTTTCAGTTCATGTGGCAGCTGGAGGCATGTCCAAAGGGGAAATTTGGGTCCTTTCAAAATATCTTTGATAATAATTTATTTGATGCTGTGATTGAGTCAAGTTCACCTCTCCTTACGCTGGATGTCTGTCAAGAGTTACCCAGACAAAAATGGAGAAAACCCCATTCCTAAACTGGCTTCAAGGTTGAATGAGGCTGTCTGGACTTTGTGACATCTTTCTAGGCCTCTTTTAATGGATTAATTGTTTCAGGAGGAGGATTTGGTGGAGATAGGTGCAAAATATTGTTACATCCAGTTTGGAGATTCCATCCACAATGAACTTGTGCAGAAGGCGCTCCATGATTGTATTCCAGTGAAACAGCTGAAGTCCAAGCCCCTGGAAAAGTGGGTGAGCCTTATAACCTATGCACATGCAAAGGTAAGAGTTTTGTTTGGGTAACCACTCTCAAGCACCAGCTTCTGCTTCTTTCACCATTTCCATTTATGAATAGTCTGTTGGGGGAAGAAGGAAAAACATTTCATTTTGGATATCCCAAATAGCTAATTAGGGCTGGAGGGGCAGAGAACCTTTCCACTCACTGTTCCATATAGGGCTCAGCAGGGGGAGCAGAATGAAAAAAGTATTTTTAAATCTCTGAATAGAGTATCTTTTAAGCCTCTCTATCTCCCATCTGACAACTGAGGAGTCAGGATGGTCATGGGATGGAATACTGGTTTTGATCTGGAAATGGATTACCTGAAATATTTCCATGACACCCAAAGTGTGTAACACTCTGAGCAGATCAGTCAGTGGGGATCTGAGGGAAATTTGGAATCCACATGCCTGTGGGCAGCCTCAGCTGCATGTGTCTTGGGCCCCTGAAGGCTATTCCTGATCTGACTTTCTCCAGGTACCCTGGACACCAGTGACAGCAGAGGGCTGTTGGGAACCTCTGGGATCAGGCTTGAGCTTTATTGTCTACAGATCAAGCAAACCAGATTTTACTGAGAAAATCTTGAGTATCTCTTTATACTGCAGGCCCCATACACACAGGACCATCTCTCCCGTCAGACTGTGAAGGAACAACTTGTAGATTTTGCTCGCTTTCAGTGGCCTTTGCTTTTTTCACGATTCTTTGAAGTCACTAAATTTTCAGGTAATACCTGGAGCCTGGGAGTAGAGGACAGATATAAGATCAATAGAGGAGGACTTGTATAGCATTGATGAGGAGTTTTTTCTGCCTTTTCAGGACCCAGCTTGCCCAAGAACCACTTTATTGTTGCCGTAAATTGGAAAGGTATCTGCTTCTTGGATGAGTCAGAAAAGCGGCTCCTTGAGCTGACCTTCCCAGAGATAACTGGCATCCACACCAACAGGTGAGTGCCTCAGAAATACAAGATCTGAAGAAGGCAACTCTGCTCATACTCAGAAAGGATATTCCATGTAGGAGGGAGATATACTTTCTCTGCCGTCCTCCTAGTGATTTGATCTGAGCCTGAAAAGGTGGCTTAGCCTAGGTCTGGGAAACAGAAAGAGATAAGTTCTGAGCAGCCTGTAAAGAAAATACTGAAATGGCTTAATCTTCCCAGATGGTGGAAGGAAAGGTGATCCTGCTCAGTCAGAAAGGTGTAAGGAAGCATAGACGTGCATCAAGAATGGCCCAAATAACGAACATAGTTAAGCCATTGTCTGTTATACATGCTGGGAGTTTGTATATATCTCCAGTGTGATGGACCTGAACAAGGTAACTGAGGGAAAGAAGGTAACCCTTGGCTTGCTCAGGGCACACATCCTCAGAGAATAGGGTCTTACATACACAAAAAATGCCTCATTGAGGACTGTCACAGATTTAGTTGCCCAGTTACTCCAAAAGAAGGGTTCAGTTACTCCAAAAGAAGGGTGTTCTTTTCAGTTACTCCAAAAGAAGGGTGTTCTTTTCAGTTACTCCAAAAGAAGGGTGTTCTTTTGTCGATAGTGAAGCACTTTTGTACAAAACATGGTGGAGTACAGAGTGAACCTGAACCACTTCAGTCCTTCACACCTGCCAACTCATGAGAAGTCAGATTAAGAACAACCAATACTCGCTGTAAGGAGCTGTAGGTTCCTTGGCTGTGATTGCAGATGAGTCTGTGAGTTTCTCAGATGCCTCAGTAACAAACTATTCAATAACACATAGGGCAGTGAAGTCATTTGGACAGAGCTGCACTCTCATCACACTTCGTGCCGAGGAGTTTGTCCTGACATCTGTCAACAGTGTTGTCATTGCTGAACTGGTGGTCATGTTCCTGGAAGGACTGAAGAAGAGATCACGGTTCGCTGTGGCAATGCATGAGAAAAAATCTCAAGGTAAGTCTGAGAACTTTTCTACAGGGTAGAGAAGAAATCTTGAGAGAATCCACAGCACTTGTTTGAAAGAGCCCAAAGAGAAGAGGGAGAACTTCAGCAAGAGTCCCTTTGCTCCAGGAGGGATGCATAGTGATCAGCACAGCAATACAAAGCATAAGACAATGTGATTCAGTACCTTTGCATACAGATTAGATTTCCTTCCTCTGTCTACTTCTTTGCATATTTTATTTAGATAGTAAAGTGTCCAACAACTCAGCCTGCTTATAGTAGGAATTTGCATCTAGGGTCCCTGGAAATACTTTCCAGAAACATTTCACAGAGATGTTAATCTGGAATTTTCTGTGGAATGTAGTTGGCTGGAACAGACAAGAGGGCATTAAAATGTAAGCACTGATTTATTCTACTTACAACTACTGAGTTTCTTTCCATGCTTTGCTGCCAGTTCTAGACACAAAGTCAACATCCATTTGAATCAAACAGACTTTTGCCATTGCCCTCAGTGGATCAAAATCAGGCTGTTAGAGGAAACTTAAGTGATTTCTCTGAAGTGTTACTGGATAATTAGCCATATTTACACAAATCACTTTCTATTGCTAATTGAATTCAGGCCTTCAAAATACAATTCCCTTGTCTTTCACATTGCAGTCTCTTTGCATTTTCTTGGACTGTCAAGCCTGAACACTACTCCCTTATTCTCTCTTCCAGAAGACCCTGCCATCCTGTCCTTCAAGAAGGGAGACTTGCTAATCTTCACTGAAGACAAAAGGCTGGATGCAAACTCTGGCTGGATCTGTGCCCAGAATGAAAGGACAAGCAAAACAGGGAATGTATTTTTGGAAGAGATCTACATCATTCCTTCCCTCACAAAACCCTCTAGCCAAGTGCTGGTAAGAAAAGCTGAGCACTCTCTTTGAAGATACTGGAAGATAAATGATAATAACAGTGTTAAATATGATTAAATTTATAACTGGAAGTTAATTGTTCCTCCAAAGTCAGACAAGTCCCATTCAAGCAAAGCATTTCATTCTATCCTGTCTGAAAACAAAACTAAACCTAGCCCAAACTCTAAGGAGAAGGCTGTAGTTACACAAAAGCAGTGACTTTCAAAAAAAACCAGTCCATTCACTGTTAGGGACTTCAGTGCATGGAATTGATAGCAATTAATGGAAATGGCTCTGCAGTTGAATTTTTCTGCATTTGCACTGGGCTTGACTGGTGATCATCCATTATGTCTCAAGGGAAGCTCTACGTACAGCAGGTTACTTTAAAAGAATATGATCTTTGAGGGAGTCAAGGTTTCTCTGCTAACAATTTTGTCTTCAGTTTTGGAGATTTAGTATATCAGATACTGTGCTAACAAGTAAAAAACTGAAAAAGTGGGGGAAAACCACAATCGTGATAAGCAGACGTGGTTTTAGTAAGTGTTGTGCTTTGGATAATCACATAGATTTTGATGGCCACTACTATTGGGTCTCTGGAAATTACTTCCTTGAGTCAACTGTTTCCAAGTCTTTCTTGAGTCTCTGAAGATGCTGCTTAGGGGACAGAAGGTCTCCTGCAGCACAGAGTACTCAAGTTTAGTGTACACCATCTGTGCATATATGCTGAGTAACACCTGACAATCTGTGCAGAAACCTGTGCCTGTGTGACATCTCTACATGGCTATGTCATTCCAGAGTTTGTTAATGATGTCTCCAGACCAGAGGAGGACAGCTTCACAGAACTCCTACATGGATGAACCTGATGAAGAGGATCTCGAAGTAAAGCCTTACACCCTGGAGGAGTTCTCCTATGAACACTTCAGGTGAAGCTCTCTCTGTAGTGTGTGCCCTAGAAAAGTTCTTGTTGATCTTCTGTGATCCTTAAAGTCTAGGATATAACTAGCATCTCCCATTTCTGATTGGGTTTCTTCTCTTTGTTTCCTGTAATTGTGACCTTGGATGTGCAGAGATTCTGGCACATGGCCTACTTGTATCTTTTGTCTGCAGAAATGCAAAGAGAAGGGTAGGAGAACCTCAGCTGCACTTATTTCTTTACAGCAGGCCCTATTCTTACTTCTCACCCCTTCTTCAGCAATTACCAGCTAGTGAGGATGCACAACATTTCAGGCCTTGGAGAATAAGGGAAAAATTAGTCTTCTAAAACCTCTTTTCTTTTGCAAGCCTTCTCCCTTCTGGATCTACAGGAAACTACATTTTCCTGTTCTTGTTGACCTGCATAATCAAAGGAGATAGGAGATCACTGTCTTGGGAAAGAACATGTCTAGAGATAAGTCTTTGTGATAATGACCTCCTGTGTTCATAGCAATACTGATCCAGCAATTTTGTATTGTCTGCACTTGTCTTCCTTCAGGACTCCTGAGAAGGAATCAATCAGCAAAACTGTTCTCCAGAAATCCCGTGGGCGCAGTCAACTGTGGGCACACTCTAAGGAGCCCTTGAAACAGCCCTTGCTGAAGAGAGCATGCACTGACCCTGATCTTCGGGATTTGGCCTGCCAGGCCTTCATTGATATCCTTTCACTCTGCTCTTTGGGACCCCAGAACACTCAGGGGAAGGAAGAGCTAGTTATCCCCACTAAACTCACCTGCATTGAGATAATACTGCATTCACATTACAGGGGATACATTTATATCAGTGTGGGGGGGTATCAACTCTGTTTCCCTTGTCTGCAGAGGAAAGGTTCCTCTTCCCTCCCAGTGCTCCACAACTCCTGATGGCTCACTTAACTGGAATGTGACTTTAGGGAGTGAGTGACATTTACTGCATATGTCCAGAGCAAGCAGCTAATAGAGTACAAATCGCAGCCAAGTAGTGACTGCTGCATAGGGAAAGGGGTAGGGGATAGGCAGGGGATATATTCCAGACCCTCCTCTCAGTATTTGCCACATAGACATCAACAGAGTCACTAACATGTTAGGATCCAGGTGAGTCTTCCCGTTTACCTTCTAAAATTGGCCTGCTTTTGTCCTTAACGCCACATTCACCCATCATGAAATTCATGGGAGACTATCCCTCAAAACAGACACACTCCTCTGTGGAAGTCACTGACCAGATATTTGTAGCAGCTATCCAGGAGGAGGTTCTGCGGGATGAGATCTACTGTCAGATTATGAAGCAACTGACTGAGAATAGAAACAGGTACTCACCTGGGTGCAAACACTCTGCAGAGCCAGGGCTCAAGTGCAGGTGGCGATCAGGAACTCCTGCTATGCTTGTGATGGGGCAGGAGCAGAGGGGAATGTTGGAGTGACACCTTCCCTCCCTCCCCCCATTTTCCCAGCAGTGCTGTGGGGCTCACTCTTGCGGAGCACTCAGGACCGCTGACGGGCAGTGAGAGGCCACAGAGCAGGAGCATTACTCATCTCCCTTGAGCTGCTGCTTTGCTCCCATCAGCATTCAGTGCTGGTCTCTGTGCAGCACGGTGTGAGGCAGGCAAGGGGTTACTGAAGCCCTCTTATTCCCAAGGCAGTCTGGAGAAAATATGGCACTGCATAGAGTTGGTGCATGCTCTCAGTGACAGCTCTGCCAGCCCTCCGCTTGTTTTAAATTTCCCAGTGACAGTATTTCCCTCCTAGAAGCACACTAGATCTTTTGCCACCCGTGAATACTTTTAAGTAGCAATATTAATTAGGTTACACAACTGCCTTTTAGAACAGATTGGTTACACAGGCCCTTGTCCATGCAGAAGTCTCTGAAACAGGCTGGAGTTTTCCTCTCCACTCGTAAAATGATAATTTGACCTACTTCCAGGGGAACTGAATTGCAAAAAGAAGTTTAAAATAATAGTAATTATTAACAAAATCGTTTGTCTGTTTCATTGTGTCACTGCAAAAGTTAGAGAAGGAGCTTCTATTTGTGCATTTTCTTTCTTACTGTTCCACAAATCTTAAACTTAGTGGAACTTTTACCATGTATGTAACTATTAAATGGTAAGTTTCCTTGCCTGCAGTAAATCTTAAAGGCTGTTTAATGCATAGTCTGTAACCATGGTGCCAGTGCCATGCCTGATGTACTCTACCAATTTAGTCACCGCTTTGAGAGAGATCACTGATGTGGAAAAAACAGTGCTTGAAATGTGGCTATTTCCATATACTTTCATTAGAACAGCCAGAGCAACAAATCTTTCATCCTTTCCAGGTTACTGCACTGTGGACCATGTCCCTCTCTCACACAGACGCAAACACAACTAATCTATTGAGTATAAACGGGATTAAAATAGTGTGTCTTCATCTGCAAAATTTGGAAAGTAAATGTCCAGGACCTCTTTATTCAGCAGAGCCTGGTGCCCATTCAGGGGCAGACCTGCTCACTTTCCCAACCAAAACCACTTCACACCATTCAGCATTTCAGAGCAATCCCTGGGATGCAGCTGAAGCGTGTTCTGCTCCTGGCCTGGAAGGTAGAGGGGCTGACCACCTCCTGGCTGCAGAGCCTTTGGACTGGTGAGGGTGAGATGGCAGAAGAACTTTCACTGACAGATTTCATGGGTCCAGAGGCTGGAAGAACTGGCTTTCTGTCTGAAAATTGTAGAAGCTTGATCTGGAGTGTTTTAAGAACTGTAACTACCTCATTACACAATGCCTTCTACATGCTTATTTTTCAGAGCAGGAGCGTGTGTAAGGGAAAGTCAATCGCATGCAAAGTGCTTGTGCCCTGAGCAAAGCCGGGTAGCACGGAGGGGGTGTGAATACAAACAGCTGATAAAGCACAAGCCAAATACACGTGAGCTTGAACAGCAAATTGGCAGTGGCTTTCCAAGAGGATGGCACCAGGATCACTGCTGCCAAGATGACCGCTAAAGTGGAACTTATGTTTATTCATGAGATTTGCAACCATCATGAATATTTATCAGCCAGGATTTCGCATTGTCCTTGCATACGGGCGGGCTGTGGTAGTTGCACAGAAAACAGCTGCCACATCCTGGGTGAAGGCTCTGTTGATTTATAGCTCTCTGCTGAATGTCACAACATCCCATAATGGGAGGGTGTTTCTCTTCCCTGTAGTTGTGGTCAAACAAAGAATTATATGTAGCTGTAACAGAACCATTTGCTTTGTGTTCACAGGTACAGCATGACCAAGGGCTGGCAGCTCCTTTGGCTCTGCACTGGCCTGTTCCCACCCAGCAAGTCACTGCTGAAACATGCCCAGAAGTTCATGGAGACACGTCAGAAAGAAAGACTGGCCCTGGAGTGCAGTCGGAGGATTCAGACAGTGATGAGGTAAATGATCCAGCATATAGCCAGCTCAAAGTGTTCAAAAATCATGAATCAGGTGCCAAAAAGCACATGGGCTAAAAACATTGACACTCTTGCTTTCCTTCCTCTCTTTACATCCTTTCTTTTAAAGTGATCATTATTCTTATGAACTTTGAACTGCTAAGAGAGGTCTATGTCACAGTTTCACTTTTTTCTTTCTCAGAGCTAGCAACATCTTTAAAAGTTCAGCATCACACATAATCCTTTGACTCCCAGAGCTGGGTATTTCAAACATCCGAAAGGGTATGCAGCTTGAAATGTAATCCTGTGTTGTCACTGATGAGGTCCTGGCCTTGCTTTCCTTTAGTGAGGCAGCATGTTCTTGTCCCCCTTACATGTGCCTGAGGATTAGTCTTGAATTTGATGAATCTCAGTAGCACAGAGTTGCACATATGCAGCTAAAAATACTAGGTTTTACTTATAGTGGGGTGGCACCACTGAAGTCACTGACATCTGCAGAGCACTAATGGGGCCCTGTTGGTTTTCTGATGGTGCAGCAAAGCAGATCCATGCTGGGAAGAGAGATCAACACAATCCATTCCTATTCTTTGAAGAAACCCAAATGAGCAAAATCCTGACACTTCCATGGCTGCTCACAGCAAGGCTACTCCTCAGTCCAGTAGGCATTACCCCAGTCCTGGGGAGGGCTGGAGCAACAAGCCCTCCAAAGCACAGTGCTTCCTGGGCGTCAGAAGGACTTGTTGCTGTTGTGAACATGCCACAACCAGAGAGAGTGGAAGAGCTATGAGGATTTCAGGAAGGTTGAACTGAACTGTAGAGGGAAGGTTTCCCTAGATTCCTCCAGGCACTGGAATTATCCAGCTTGACGCTGAGAATTCAGTGCTTTGGCATCAAGGTTAACCCCAGCCTTCTCTCTTTTGATGCTGCTGTGAGTTACCACCTGCCTGCCACAGACCTCTTCACTAAAGAAACTGCCCAACGATTTTTCCCTCCAGCTCCTCCATCCTCCCCCTTCTCTTAGGCTGGGCCCTGCATTTGGTCTGTGAGTCCTGTGGGTCAGGCTCAAGGGGAATGCTGCTAACACAGTGGCTGTCCCTCTTGCACTGCTGGGGAAATGTCACTGCGCATTGAACTCGCCTTTGAAGTGCCTGAAGAATTCATGGCGAGGAATGCTATTCATTGTTTTTTCTATGGAGAAGACTGAAAATTTCCTGCCTCCCTGTATTATGTGCTATTCATGCTCTAAGCCCCATTGAGCTGTACAGAGCTTCTTTAGAGTGGGGAAACAGGGAGGGGAAAGCAGAATGGGCTGTCTGAGAGGAGAATTTTATCTGCTAAACTGCCCCAGATCAGGAGCCATGGGGATGGGAAGAGGAACAAAGACAAATGTTGTTTTATAAGAGTATTTATTTTCATAAAATTAAACCTACACCTGCAGAATAGAATAGAATAGAATAGAATAGAATAGAATAGAATAGAATAGAATAGAATAGAATAGAATAGAATAGAATAGAATAGAGAACAGCTCATTTGGAAGGGACCTACCACAATTATCTAGTCCAACTTGTCCCTGTAAGTAACCTGCTGTCTTTGGAAAGGGGAGAGCAGGCAGCTCAAAGGACTGACTTACAATATGTGGAGTGGAAGCCAACTGAGCCCTTGGGTACACCTTTTACTCCATGAACAGCTTTACAGCTCCATCCCAAGACTGCTGGCCAGGCAACCAGCAAGCACCCTGATGGTGTTAAGCAGATCTTGCCTTGGCAATGAATTGCTCGTGGAGGCTGCAAGGAGAGATGGCCCTGTGCCTCCAGCCAAGCTGCTGCCTTTCCTTGGTCTCCTAGGGCCTCCCTCTGCTGCAAGTCCAGGAACAGATGACTGTAGGGCAAGGGCAGGTCCACACTCCTTAGAGTGCCTGCACAGTATACCAAGCACATGCTGTTCAACTTGGTTACACTCAGGTTTTCATTCTTCAAATGGAACTGCTACTTTATTTCTTGGAAAAAAAAATTAGTTTTCAAATCCACACAACTAAAGCTGTATGCCAAACTAAGCTCTCTTCCTGAGAGAGTGGCCCAGTGTGAGAAAGGAGTTTGGCCCATAAACTACAGTGTACACAATCTCCAAACAGCCTGCTCTGTGCCACCGAGGGCAGGAAATGACAGTCCCAGAAGGCAACGTGCTAGATTTGTCCTCAGTTTAACTGTATCAAGGTTTTTGCATGACTCAGACTTCAGGGATAGGTCCTTTGCTTTAAAAGGCAGCTCTGCTCTGAGGTATAATTTCTAAGAACTGGGACTGTACAGCTTAAGCACCTCTTGAGTCAGTGATTACGTGCCAGTTCTTACATAAAATGTAATGCCTCTAAGTGGCCCTCTAAACTTTTCTGGTACTTGTCTCCTGAGCTGTAACTCGTTTTGTATCTGATATTTTTGCTGATGCCACAATTAAATAAAATTTATTTCTCCTTGTGGCTACTTTCTGCATGCTTCAGTAAGGAAAAATGTTGCTGTATACATAGAAGGGGTAACGGTACTGGCTAGGAAGGTGCCTTATTCATGCAACCTCCTTGCAGAGTAGAACAGACTTTTAACATACATGCCAATAAGACTCTCAATTTCTTGTTAATACACTGAATTTGCACTGGGGTGAATGACCATTGGAGCCCACCCCGTTGCACAGTGCTAGTTTTAGAGTCTGTTGTTCGGATGGAATGCTGTTCAACCCCTCAAAGATCTCTCTTACGATGGTGGTGGTATTTTCCAGGAGTGGCTCCAGGAAGTGGGCACCTCATCCCGTGGAGGTTGAGGCCATCTTACAGAACAACACTAAGATCTCACACAAGATTTGCTTCCCCAATGAAACAGAACAGGTAAGAACTTACTTCTTTTCCTAGCCATGAGGTGTTTGTGCAGGAGCACATTTCAAGACATTCAGCATTCTCATTTCTTCCTCTTTGTGTAACAAGAGTCTTGTCATCTCATAGACATTTGATGTGGGAACAAACACCAAAATCCGGACTCTGTGTCAGAAAATTGCTTCCAAATTGCAGCTGAGTTCCTGGGAAGGTTTCAGCCTCTTTGTGAAGATTGCAGACAAGGTAACTCTTCTTGACTATGGCAGGGTAACCAGAGTCCCCCCTCCTCTCTTCCTCTTTTACCAGACCACCTAAACAACCATATCTAAAGCCAAGCAACAGAGCAGGAAGGTACTGCTTCTGTCTTACTGAGGGGATACAACCTAGACTCAGACTTTTAGCACCTGACAATTATTTTCCGACTCTTAAAGGGTGGAGATGCAGAGTTTCTTTTGGTCAACTGGTACACAGGTGGACTAAAAGCTGAGAAGACGCAGGCTTTCTTGCAGCTGCCGGGAGGGTAGCAAATTGTGTGTTGCATACTGCTGGATTCAGCCCTTTCCTGCTCAGGCTTTGCCGAGGAGATGCTGCACATGTACAGTGCCCACTAGTATTATGGGGCAGCAGTGGCTGACCAGCACCAGCTGACTGCTCTCTAGTTTCTCAGAAGCTTGCCTTGCCTGAGCTGAAGCTTGGGTTGGCTGCCTCACTGTGAGGTCCCTTCTCTCTGGAACTGTGATAAGAGAAAAGCAGCACTGGGTTCAGCACAGGCAGGTTCTGATGTGCTGTGTTCCTGAAGAGAGGAATCCAGTACGTGCCAATTATTTCACAAAGAGGAGATGGCTAAGAATAAGGTAGGCATCTTCAGCTTGACTTCAATAAGCAGGTTGGAAAGAAAAATGCAGTAAAAATCCCCATATGAAATGTAAATCATTTGAGTTTTCCTTCTCCTGTTTCTCTACTTCCCCTTGCCTCTTTCCTGATGTAATTGTGGCCTCTCACTGTAGACAGGGAAAGAAAATTCAGCCTGATACTTGGGTATGTTGGCACAGGCAGCATTGTATATGATCTGCTAATCTCTCCTTTCCCCCCTACATTGCTTGGCTTCTTCCAGGTGATCAGTCAGAATGAAGCAGACTACTTCTTTGACTCACTAAGGCAGGTGACAGACTGGAACAGAAGGAACAAACCAGGGAAAGATGGTAAGGAGAATGCCAGCCTGACAAGAAGGTGCATGAGATGCTGTGTTGAACTGGAGAAGCAGCAAATTTATCCAGTAGGATTTACTCCATCTTGGGAAGTGTGTGGCAGAGCCTTATATAATATCATTTTTGTTTGTATATCACAGTTATTGCCTGCACCAACAGTAAGATCCAGTGACCTGATGCACCCAAGCACTGGCTATCGGAAACACCACAACATCTTTGTAGTGGAATCTCTTCAGAAATTTTAAATTGGTACCAAAGACTTTTTGACCTGTTGCATCCAGAACACACAGCTGGATGCACTCAAGTTGGATAGGTTGATCCTCTTTACAGTCCAAGGCTCATGCATTGCCGTATCAGGTATCAGTCAACACATGTAAATAGGTTCTTTACAGTGTCACTCCCATTCCTTGCATTGTTAGACAACTGCTGTCTAGATTATTACCTGGTGATACCAAAACACAAGTTGTATTGTCAGGTGAACACTTGTAAGAATATACTAATACAACATTAATGACAGCAATTCTTTGTATTTCACTCCCACGTATAACTTATATTTTGGAATCTACATCAAACTCAAACTCCACTCAAATTTTGCATTGATTTATCCTGACCTTTGCTTATTTCAGGACAGTTGAGGTTTAGCTTCCTGAAGCACTCTCTACGTATCTAAGACATTCTAACTTCCCTCTTCTCCCCACAGCTGATGCAGATGCTAGGAGTCCTGAAAATCACTGCGTAAAGATGTGGGTGCGCTAATTCACAGTTCATTTTGTAAACACAGCCATCAGGGAATGTACCTGCATCAGTGTAACAGAATTCAGGTGTGCTGCACGTTGGCAGGCAGCTGTCATGAGCACCAAGAAATAACAAACATTTTTATTGCAGGCATCCTCAGCTCCTTCCTGCATCTCTGAAGAGCCTGCACTTTACATCACTGCATGATCACTGTCCAGGAATTGACAACTAATCACTTTTTTGGTCATCTAAAATGGCCTTTTGTACTTATTCTGTTAGTAATTTTGTTTGTTACTATTAAAACCAGAAATAGATTTCTGAAGAAACTCACGAGCCATTTAAATCTGCAGAACTCTACAGTGATACAGAGAATACTGAAAAGATGTTATTTCCTTAGGGGCTGTGTCTGTGGCTTATGACGTGTACTTCATGAGAAAGCTGTGGCTGAATGTAACTCCTGGGAAGGACATGAAGGCTGACTGCATTTTTCATTACCACCAGGTAACCAGCCCCCTAAAGCATAAAGGCAGGCAATGTGATCCAAGCAATACTCCTGAGAAAGTAGGCCTGCTGGAGTATCACCATCTCCCTCCCCAAGACCTGCATTACAGAACCTCCAGAGGAATGCATCTGGAGGGCACTGCTCAGCCTCGGGAGCAGATTTATTTCTCACAGTGCTCTCACCTGAGCTATATTGCTTCTGTTAGGTAGAGAGCTCCCTTATTGTTCCCTGGAGGTGCATGTCTTGCTCCACAATTGTATGAAGAACCATAGAAAGGTTTGGGTTGGAAAGGACCTTTAAAGATCATCCAGAGAACCTCCAGGAGTTAAAAGTTCTCTGGATGTCCTTGGACTGTGTTTGGCAAGACTCACATCCTGACCTCACTGATCTAGAATGTGTAAGTCAGTGTTTGCTTCAGCCCATTCTGTCCGGATTCAGAGCTGGTCTCTTCCAGGAGTTGCCGAAGTACCTCCGAGGCTACCACAAGTGTTCCAAGGATGAGGCTGTCCAGCTGGCAGGGCTCATTTATAAAGTGCGCTTCAACAATGACCGCACACAGCTGGCAACTATCCCCAAAATCCTGAAGGAGCTGGTGCCAGACAACCTGCTCCGAGCTATCTCACTAGATGAGTGGAAGAAGGTAAGAACATCAGCTTCCATTAATCATACTACTTCCACTAAGCTTTATGAGAGAAGATTTTGAGTCACACTACATTTTTGATCTGACAGTCTTTGAAAGCACTATGGAGGGATACTATGGGATGTTGCTGTTTTGCCTCTTACAATCCAGATTTTGTATCCTCTCTACCAAAGCTCTGAAAGATATCTGCAGGCCTGAATGACTGATTTGGGATGTGCATCTTTCTTGAAGATACTAATCTATTTTCAGTGCCCAGAAGATTAGTCAGAGATAGGAAAGTCAGTGATGGGACTAGGAGGATCTGGTAGAGAAAAAGATGTGTCCTAAGTATTTCATAGTTTGGCCAGCAAATCAGTCACCTTGCACCATGTGGATGCTACTCACAGCAAAAAGGCTCTTTTATCCACCAAAAGGCAAGGAAGTTTCAGCAGGTACCTATCACTTAGTCCACTGAGGAAGACGCAGAACGCTATTTCAAATGCAGAGGGAAAATTCACCCTACGTGTTTCAGCAGTAAATGTGATACATGTCTGTGGGAGTTGAACACTGGGCTTTCTGAAATTTTTTTTCATCCTGTATTGCCCTTCTGCCCTGAAATCCATTCCCTTGGGCTCCTGGACTTCCTTCACCCAACTCATTAGTAAGGAACACTGGGGAGGTTCTGGCTCCGCCTTGCCCCATGGCACAGCAGGCTATTTTCATTTTCAGTTTTCTGTAGCTGTGGGCAAAAGACTGATCTTGGTGATGATCTGATGTTGTCTGTAGTGCTAATGCTGGACACTGCAAACCTGCCTGTCTCCAACTGAATAGGCTCTGTATAATTTTTTTCTGAACAGAGCATTATTGCAGCATATAGTAAACATGAAGGAAAAACTGTGGATGAGGCCAAGATTGCCTTCTTGAAAATGATACACCGGTGGCCAACGTTTGGATCAGCCTTCTTTGAGGTGAAGGTAGGTTTAAAGGCCTGTACTAATGGCTTTGGTAGTAAATCAGCACTGGGGGATACGGACTGACTAATTCCATACCTGTGTAAGTGAGAATACATTGTAAAGCTGAATTCCCATCATCCACTGAGGAAAACTCAGTTCCTTGAAAGCAGGGAGAGGGTTTTCTTTATCCATTCTAGACTATGTCTGTTATTTACTGGCTATGTTGTTGTTCCAGCTGTAACACCTAATATTACAAATATGTAGCAGTTGTAGTAGGGGGCTTTTAGTTACCTAAATACTGTCCTGTCATTGTTCTCCACAACAAAATGCTGCCAAATCTTGTATCTCCAGGGACTCTTCCCTCAGAACAGAACTGCACTAATCTTCTCATTCTGCAACAGACACCTCCAGGAATAATTTCCCACTTGCTACCTTTAATTTCTCCTTGCTAGGCTCTTAATTGGTTTGCAACCAACTGTTAAGCCTATTACCAGATAGCCTAGAAAACAAGGGACCTGATTCTGCTTTTATGTAGCAGCCGCTCAAGTCATCTATGTATGTCCAAAGAAGTTATCCTTAGCAATTACATGATATCAACAAACTTTATGCTTCAGTGTTTATTCGGTAAAAAGAACAAGCAGCACTGGACACCATTACAGGTCACTATGCACCAGATACAGATAATTTCTTCATTTTCTTTTTTCTTACTCTGTTACTCACTTATAGCAAACCTCGGAGCCAAATTTCCCAGAGATTGTGCTGATTGCAATCAACAAGCAGGGAGTCTCACTGATACATCAGAAGACAAAGGTAACAGTTGCTTCTCAAGAGTCTAAGGAAGGATTTAATTGAATGTACTAATTTAGGGACAGCATCAGGACCTTTTCCCTGAATGATAGGGGAGAATAGAGTCCCTCTATTCATTCTGTGTGTGAAACTGAAGATGTTACTGCGTCAAATCACTTCTTTGCAGTTTCCACAGTGGAAACAGTGTAGAGCATCTCTGAAAAAAGAAATGGTAATTGTGATGGACCTGGACAAAGTGGTAAGATCAGGCCAGTGGATGGACAGTGACCTAGGGAACCTGCTTCAGAAAAATGCTTTGCAGGAAACCCAAGCTGACTAAAAGATCAAATCGAATGACAGTGTTTACCAGCTCTCTAATCCAAACAGTCTGGCCTTACCAAGTTCCCAGGCAAAAGCCTTTACGAATATCACTATTTGCTTTTAATTAAGAAAACAACTATCCAGTGAGTTTTAGATTACTGTAAAAATAAAGCTGGTGTGCTACAGCAAAGATCAATATATAATGAAAGGAAGTCTCATTACAGTGATTAAGATGCACCTGCTGGGTGAAAATACAATACACCACTAGTCTGGATGCAAGACTTACCTTGATCCACTGTGTTTATAAATGAAGTGGGAAAGAAAAATGCTCTGGCTCTGCAGGCTTTCTTATGTAACAGCCCATTTTCATTTGAGAAATGTTCTATAGTTCAGTTTGTTTCCCTTTACAGGATATTTTAACAGTCTACCCCTTCAATAAAATCTCCAATTGGAGCAGTGGGAGTACATACTTTCACATGACAATAGGGAACCTGGTACGAGGAAGCCGGATCTTATGTGAGACATCTCTGGTGAGTTTTGTCAACTTATACACAAGAAACTCCCAATTTTTCCTTTACATGCAGAATTTCTACAAAACGATGGCGCCAAAACAGATGTTAAAACCAGTGCAGATTCAAAAAGCATTCACTGCTATGTCAATAAAATTGCAGCTTAAAACTGGCTCAGGGCTATATAATGCCATCTGACACAAAGATATATGCCTCTTCCCATACATCAAAATTCTATCTATCCGAGACATTAAGACTGCACTTACCCATAAACTATGTAAGAGGCTTTTTGCCTTGCATGGTTTGATCCTTCCATGCACTAACGCCATCCTTGTAAGATTTTGCACTTTTCAGTGAGTGGCACCACCTTTTAAGAATTGGTTTCAGATTGCCCATAGACTCAGACAAGCATCACTGTGGTGATATTTAAAGGTAAATTTGTAAAGACAACATAAAAACATTTAAGGCCTAACTTCTCTCACAGAAAAACTTGGATTCCTAAGTACAAGATGTCAATCTATACAATGACAAGGAGACAGTAGAGCTATGCTCTGTAGTTTTGTAAATCTATGAAGGGAAGAGCAGAGGGAAGAATAGATAAATCAAAACAGTGATAGCTGTTGGAAGAGGAGATGCCCATGCAGGAAAGAACCTAAGAAGAAGATAAAACAGGAAGGAAATGAGTTCTTTTTGCATCTGGAACTCTTTGAGAGACTTAAGACTTTTTTCTTTTCTGACAGGGTTACAAAATGGATGACCTGTTAACATCCTATGTACGCCTGCTCATGAATGCTGTAAACAAGCAAAAGACACTCTCAGCCTGAGAGCGAAAATAGAACCCATGACCAGTGCCTGTGCCAAACTACCTGTAATCTAATCTCCCAGAAGAAATGCCATATTAAAAATATTAACCTTGATGATCAGTCTTCTGATCACACACTGAATGAACTGTGTTGTTGACACGTTGCAAGGGAAGCTCAAGTGAGCATGCGCTTTCAAATATTTGTAACACTTGTCTGTCTTAGGTGTAGTATAAGAATTCAATCCAAATGTAGGATCTAGAGAAAGTTTAGCTGGATATTAATGTAATATGAGTGCAGGGGGTGGAGGAACCCTGATATGAGAGCCTCTGCTGATACGTTAGATATCCTTCATTCTTAAAGAGAGACGCACAATAACAATTGTCTTGCATTTGGAAAGAAAAATGTCCCCTTATTGTATATGCTCTTACCAAAAACATAAACTCCTCGAGTCTTTGAAAATAAAGGTAGTTATTTTTTCCTCCTGTTGAAAATTTTAAGAGTGGAGAAATATCCTACTACTAAAGGCTAACTGGACACCCTGAAAGGTAAGGTGCTGGTTTTCATTCTTTTATCACTAGGTTATGTGCTGCAAGTTACAGCAGACTGACAGCCAGTTACTGTCAGAATATAACTGTCATTCCTGTGTGCTGCTAAATTAGCAAGCTGGCCACTGGTTTACCATTGCCTTGGTTAAATTAAAAGTTTTCTTTCCTCCATATTTTATAATGCACTTGGAAACTAACTCCTTTCTATGCAGTTTCTACTAAGCATAAACAAACTCTGAAATTAGTCTGGATTTTGTGTCCATTACTTCTACTGAGTTGCTCTTATTTCAAGTTACAGATGTGCTATTCAGTGCAAATCAGAATCAAAGAACTCAGTCTAGCAGACAGCTGTTGAAAAGAGAGTTTTCTGCTCTATGAAAATGTTATCAGCTTGGAGTTATGCAGACATTCGTTCGTGAGACAAGAATAATAGGTTTAATTTCTCCTTTTCTGTTTCCTGTTTAGCAGGCACTTTTGAGTGGTAACATTTGATTCAGCACTTGTTCATCTCTCAGACCTCTGAGACATGCAACTTTGGTCCTATAGGAACCAGCGTGTGCTCAGAGCGTGTAAAGCATACATGCACTGTGGTGGTGGTAAGCCTAGATGTTTACCCCATCAGAGAACAAGTACTCCTTCCTCAACAACGAGCCCTCCCTTGCTCACAGTGAAACATGGACATGTCTTAAAGCATTTACACCAAGTTCCTTGAGACATGATCTGGCAGTGCTGGAAAAGCAGCTCGGCTAGATCTCTCCAATCTGCCAACGTATGCACAATGGTTCTCTTGTTCCCTCAGATGTGTGTGAAATTCAAACGCTCATGGGAGTTCTGCACATGGGTGGCAGGGAAGAGCCCCACTCTCTTTGTGTATCTAAATGAGTGCCACACTTGTCAGAATAGTTGATCCTTTTGCATGCAATCAGATGTTCCTGCTATAACATCCATTGCTGGCAATGGAAACATTTGAGACTAATGACTAGCTGTTCTGACATCCTATGTCTGATCTAACTGGCTGTAAGTCAGCAGCAGTCCACACTTCACCTGTACAAAAAGAAATTTTGCAGCAAAACTGTACTGTTTCTGGTTTTTTAAATAAACACCGCAGAAAATCAACCACGATGTCTTTTTAACAAGAAATTTCAATATTCACTCTAGATCCATGCAACCTAAACCTACCAAACATGCACTACAGCCTGTAAATGATCATAGCATCCTATCTACTCATTATATACATGACACAATTTGTACAGCACAGCCTCTAAAGGGATGATATCCCTTTCTGCACATCCTCATTAACCCACACATCACCACAGAAACAGCACAGATCCAAAACGTGAATTCACCACGACAGTGCATCCGATTTTGGCAACCCCTGAGTTCCGCTGAGGGTGTAATGCTCTCTGGCTCGTCATTGCAAATGTAACTTCTTTTTACTGTACAATATATCACTTTTATACATTTGTTTTTTGTGTGAAGATTTAAAATGTGTTACAGTTAACTTTATTATAGGAACATAAAAAGTTACAGTATTACAACATTTCAATCCACATTAGACAGCACAGTAATGTATGACAAAATGAGAGCTCCACATGGTGCAGAATCCACACTGCTCATCATGGCCTGAACCAAAGCAAGTAGCTGCTAATTCTTATAGCGGGAGTAACTATGATTCTCTTAAGAAAGGATTGTTGTTACTAGCTGGGCTCAGTTGCAGAGGTCATACCTCCACGTGGTCCTGCTGGATGCCCTTCGGGGTAAACAAATTGGCCTCTGCCCCAGTGTGACTGAATCACGGCTGCTTCCTCCCTATAAAGTGACATCACCGACCACCTGACAGTACTCCAGATGACCCATAGTAGTGGCATCAATTCCCTATCGACCACCCAAGGCCTTCACCCACAGGCTAAATTGGGCAAAGCCTGACCGTTCTCAAGGGGGGACTGTTGGGCTGTGACCACCCTCCCAACCAGACTGACGTGGTGTGCATCTTCTACCACAGTCCAGGGCAAGAGTGGATTGACCTCTGTTGGCTGCCACCCTTGCTCTGCTGCTGGTTGCAGCCCAGTAGGTGTTGAGAGGGTGGGACACAAGTCACACCAGACCTTGACTAGGACTGAAGGGCCAGCCTAACAGCCAATGGTAGTTACCCACCAGCTATGACAATACAGTGGGAATTTCTTCATCCAATAACCAGATATGTCATAGTCTTGGTAAAATTCCAATTGCCTACTCTAGCGATCAAACCCTGATCTGGCCACAGGATGGGCCACTTTCACTTAACCCGGAAAAGAGACATATGCATTCCTTGTATGTGTTTGCTAAACAGCCTATACCATCCTCAGCACTTATTAGTGCTTTACAGACTAGCACAACCACACTTTTTAGATGTTTGCCTGCAATCTACTCTTCACCATCCAACCACTTTTTACAAGAGTGTCAGTCAGATCATCTAATACAAAACACAAGACATCTAGAAACTCTCTGTACAGAATGTTGAACAATATTTGCCTACATTGCACAGACTGCTGTAAAAATAAAAACCAGGATGTGAACCCCAGAGAGCATATTAGGTTGCCATAAAGAAAAACTGCAAGTGATTAACATACACTTTGAATACAACAAGCTTCACATACTGTGGTTTCTAAAAGCAAAACCATTTTCAAGTGTACTCAGTGAGTATTAGTGATTTTAACTCAGTATGTATAAATATAAATGTAAACTATAAATGTATATAATGAGACAACAGCTTTTAGTAAGTGTAGACTTCTGAGCCAAGTTCAACCTTGATATAAATCTATACTCTCCAGTGGTGTGATACCTAAGGATGAATTTGGCCAGCATGTCTATTTACAGCAATGGAAAAAAGCATGCAGCTTATTTCTGACTTGGACATGGATTTTATCTTTTAAAAAAAAACAAAACAAAACCAAACCCAACCTGTCGGCCTATCAACACACTAAGGAGAATCTGTAAAACTGCATTATATTCCACTTAGTTTTTAAGAAGTGGACTCAAAGTAGGGAAAGATGCATTTATTTAAACTATTTAGTTATTTCTCCTACTCCTTCAATTCCCCTGTCCCACAAAAGGTATGTCAGTAATATTCACTACTATCACTCTGCACATTGCAGCTTATGGGCAGCAAGAGTATAAGAAAAATAATTGTGAAAAATAATTTAAGAGATATTAAGAGAACATCACCTTCTGCTAATATAGAGATATGGGATTATGATGTTTTTTCTTCCCCACTAATTTTGGAAAATGCTCTTAAGATAGGGACATAATCCAAATCCTAGAGAACTGAGCACCTTATCAAAGACAATTATACCAACCGTCCTTTGAATACTGAAGCTTACCAGGTCTACTGAATTTCTAACATGAGACAGAGTGAGAGGACACACTAGATCTCGACTTACAGTACAAAAGTAATTCCATTTACCTTTACATGCATGCATTTTCCATTGCTGAACTTGAGAGTGGCCACAGAAAGAATATTACCTATTGCCTGCTAATTACATAGTCTTTCCATATTTACCAGTAGCTATGTGGCTGCGTGTTCCTCCACCATCTTCCCTGAAGGCTGAAGATACACACAGCTGCTCAGATTTAGCATTAGACCTGGCCGGTGACTAAGATTATAGGAACAGACATGAGTGCTTTATGCTGAGAAGAATCTGCATAACATACTGAACTGCGCCTAGATCGGTAGTTCTTGTGTTTTATGCTGTGAAAATAATGCCAAAGAACAGGCTTACAAGACCAGTCTTTACAGTGGCCACATACTACTGCACCAAAAGACATGTTGCTCTTTGTGCCTTTAACTAAAAGACCATTTAAAGGCTGGTGAGAGAACAGTGACTAGCCACATTTTCTATTAAAGCAGTGATGACAAGAGCAGCTACACTTACTGTAATCTGCAGTGCATATTGGTCAGAAGAGGATGGAAGAGCTCTACTGTTAAAATTAGGCCTACACCCTCATCAGTGTTGTGGTGGATGCAGTGTACCCCAGGTGGAAGTTTATGGTTACTCACAGCAACAAAAAGCAAAGCAGCTGAAGGAAACTGAATTAGCAAAGCCAGTAAGTATCTAAGACATGGTCTTGCATGTGGAATTCTTATCTGCACACAGTTAACCAGGGTTTCCCACCACTGCTGTGATATCACTGGTGCAGTTTCATGGGTAGTAGCCCCAGCTTAATGACTATCAAGGCTTTAGCTATTTTGTTTAGATTTATTCTGAGCAGAGCGTGATGGCAATGAGGACAATTTTAAGGTAGATTATTGCCCCAATCCAGTTGCTGCTCACACATTCAAGAAGCGAGGAAGCTTTAACTTCTTGCAAGCTAATTCACCTGGGGCTGCAGGGTGGTGCCTAGGCCCACCTTCTGTGTCCATTTGACCTACCAAAATAGCCACTTTTTGGAAGATTTCAATCATGCGAGGGACAGCAGTCCTCCAGTGCCTTTCATCCTGTCCACCTCATGGAAGGGCTGGCACAGTCTCCAACTATACATGGAAAGGGATTTTCAGGCTGCTCAGCTTAGTTCACCCAAGAAATTACAGGGGACACCTCCAGAGGTCTCAGAAGCTCACTGAGATTATACAACACAGAGGTGGACTCAGGAACAGCACTGCTGAAGGCTCACCCCTAAAGAAATATCAAGAATGTTCAAAACCAGTACATTTCTCAGCACCTTGTATTGTACTAGCAGAGACAGTAAGACCAGTGAAACTTCACCAGTGACAGGCAAAACTACAGGGCAGAACTATATGCTTAAGATGTACAGATTCATGCCTGAGGTCCTCTCTTTAAGTACACTCAGGTCTTATGAAGAAAGGTGATGGGAAACTCTTCTTTGGGTGAAAATTTAAAAAAAAAGGCTTTCTGGGTTTTTTTCTGCATAAAACCACATTTGCAGTTTGTAACTGTAAATATTAGAAACCTCTTCATGTAATTTGGCTTTCTGAAGCTTTCAACAAGCATATACTCATCTTTTAAGTAAAGTGAGAAGGGCAAGGAAACTGAAGCGCTTAAATTGGTACCATATTATCTATTCGACTTCTTCATGTAAAGGAATAACCAGGCTCCAGCCACATGGCCTCAAGAAATGTCAGCTATGCCAGTGGATAGGATGTGCTTTGTGTTGACAACTAGAAGCCCTAGTACCCATTAAGTAGAGAACAAACTGAGAAAACAGTTTCCCCCAGCCACCTCCTCCTTAAGGAAAGCCCAGCTATTCTGAAGAGGCTGACATGGCCTTGACAATTGAAATCTCCTTAGTACTGAAGAGGGAAGCAGCAAAGCAAACTCCTTCAACTGTCTTAACATTGGATGTAAGCCAGACAAGTGGGCAGTGCAGATGGCATAACTATTGGTCCTTGGGCTTTCCCGGTAAACCTGCAAACCAGGACTGTACAGCATCCGTATATGCTCAAGTAGGAAGCTGGAGAAAGACCAGAACATTTTGCATGTAGCAGAGACTGACAGCTTCTAGAATATCTGCCTACATATTAAAAAAAAAATTAAATGTCTTCACCCAGGGTAAGAAGAAATAATTTTTATACTTTAACTGAAAAAGCAAATCACACATTTCTTCCACCTCTACACTAAACCACTGTTTCCAAATTCCTTAGACTATAGAGGAACAGAGAGAACTACAGTTCAATTAAGGAAGGAAAGACTGTGTACAGTTCCACAAAGGCAGAATAAGTTGTTATTAGCACATTAATAACCAGCCTGTAAACTGCTCAAGCAGAAATCATGTTCCTCTTTCTGCCATAGTTAATAGACAACTGCTTGAGAAAAGGGATAGACAAGATGCAAGCTACATTGCCAAAAGCAGGGGAAGGTACTACTGATCTTTGGTTTCTCCTGTTCATAGTAACTGCCTCTGTAACCAACAGCTGCTGTGAGCAGCAGTTTATGACTGTAAGAGTGCAGTCAGCAGACTGACAGACTTGTTCAGGCAGAGTTTAAATCCAGAGCTTTGGGATGTGCCTTCTTGGATGCCAGCTCTGACAACTTCTTCAGGCGTTTCTTCAGCTCCAGAGGGAATTTCTCATAGCACTTCTTGCATACAGGCTTCATGTCAAACTCCACAAACTTATTCCTTTTAACACAAAGAACAGTGGGCTATTAAAATGGTATTTGCAAACTACATGCTTCACTAAATCAAGTCTCCATGCACCGATGTAAATGCTGTTGCTTGTGTTCTATTGCACATATAAAGCAACACACTTCCTCATCTTGTCATGCAAGTGTCCATGTAAGAGACTGTGTTCTTATCAGGGAACTAGGGTCTTTATATTGCTAGTTCAATAAGGGTAAGACAGATTTTGCTATATATTTGAATGTAACAGTCTATAATAATAATAATATTATTGTAGATTGAAAGTGTCACTTCAAAGGTTCTCTTTGTGATGAATTAGAACTCCTTCATATGCAAGGCCAGTGGGGCCACCCCAGCATAGCAGGATGAGGGTTTGAACCCAAGTAAGGAAAAATGTAGGACTGCTTTGTTTTCTATTCCCCTTCTACATAGCCAAGGTAACTAGCATAATATTTTTTTTCAAAATAATCTACACGATTGCAAATACTGCCATTGAGGGGAGCATGCAGACTAAGGAGATATGGAGGCTGCGGGTATTTCAGGACAGGCAGTTGCCTGAAGTTTAGAGCCTTCCCTCTGTACTGCTGAATGAGTTCTCTGCTTACCCAACCTTCTTACAGAATAGATTAATTAAGAAAAATAAATTAGAGAGGATGTGGAGTCCCAGCTCCCTTTTAGTTCTGAAATCAGTGGAATTTTAAGCACCTGCTCCCAAAGAGAAAAGGTATATTGCCCCTCAGAGAGGCACTGGCTCATGGCTCCCCCAAGCTGACACCCTGCCTTAGGGGCAAATGTCTCATATGGTCCAAAATATAAACACTGACTTACTTCAGTGTAAGCTTGATGTTGCAGGTGGAGCAGGAGAAGCAATTCACACACCAGGCCTTGTTAAGAGCTGATACCACTGCAAAAGCAAAAGCACAAAATAAGAGGAAACTGCCGGATTATTTGAATTCGGATTTGTATCCAAATTCAAATGAGGCCAGATGTGAAAAGAAACACTGGTGCCTTGCAACTGTGAGGCTGCAACAGCTGCACTAACAAATAGAACAAGGACAGCAACCCAAACCAAGGAGAGAACAAATCTTACCATCTCCCTCTATCACATGGCTGCAGTTGTAGCAGACATCTCCAAAGAGCTGCACAGCAAAAGAAATAAGAACAGGAACTCATGTTACTGACTACTCGTGCTCCCCAAATTACACAGCTGGTGTGAACATTAAATACTAACAATCAAAGAATTCCCAGACACTGCAGTAGCCCCCAAATATACTGATTTAAATCTTCTGAATAACTTCTCATACACTTGCCAAATAGTCCATGTCCCTTTGGATCTCATACCACTAAATACTACAAAACCTTTTTTGTTGATGCCTCACACTCTATCACTGTTGAATGATCTTAAAGTCCTGTACATGTGGCAATTTAGAGAAAAGAGGATTGGTAGAGTATGATACTTACTGTAGACAAACATCTCCTGATGCTTACCTATAAACATCAAAATAAAACCTAGAGCTACTTTCCAAATGGTAACACTTATCTCTTATGAGAGACTCATTTATCTGACAGAAGAAAATGCCAAACTCATAGCTGTTGAGTCATACAGAAAAAATGGGTTTGATTGGCTTTTGAAAGATATTTTACTTATGCTTTAGACAGCACAATATTTGTCTTAGGCCCATGGAAGCAAGCAATTATCAAAGAAGTCCACAAAAATACTTTTGAAGTAGAATTATAAGGATTTTAATCACAACCCATGGCCAGTGTTTTCTTCTGTCAATGGCACAAAGAAAAATCAATATTCCCAAAACATTTCTAATTCTGTTCTCAGCATCACTTTTCACATCTACCAAGAAAAACTCATTTTTCTGTTAAATCTCACTAATTTCTTAATATTGCATTGCCTCTACAAATTCAGATTATGCAAAATCTGCATATCTTTGCATATATAAAATGCAAAACAGTGTTTGCCAGTTAAAGCAAATACCTGCAGTATAGATGGCAGAATTTACCTGGTTATAGTGAGTTTCACAATAAGCCAGTCCTTTTTTCTCATAGTGTCGGTGTCCCAAGAATGGCTTCTCACATTTGGCACAAACAAAATGCTGTAAAAGAATAAAAGACATTCAGTGGCAGGCAAAGCGACTTTTCTATCCCGAGGGAAAAACTTTTATGGTTACAAATCATGGTTCAATACAAGACACTTACTCATAGAATTTGGGTTTGGGTTGGAAGAGACCTTAAAGGCCCTCTAGCCCCAACCCCCTGCCATGAGCAGGGACACCTTCCACTAGCCCAGGTTGCCCAAAGCCCCGTCCAACCTGGCCTTGAACACTGCCAGGGAGGGGGCAGCCACAGCTTCTCTGGGCTACCTGTGCCAGGGCACCACCACCCTCACAGGGAAGAATTTCTGCCTTATATCTAACCTAAATCTACTCTCTTTCAGTTTAAAACTGTTACACCTTAATGCTTTAATGAAATTCAGACACGAAAATATTTATGGAAGTAAAAAAAAAGGAGGAAAATTTAGTCTACTATAGAAATTAAGAAGTGTATTAAAGACAGGGAGAAGACCTTCTGCAAGGGCAATCATCTTGTGTCTATACTGATAGACTTGTGGACTATTATCTTGCTTTTTTCAAAGAGAAACAGGAACATAAAACATGGTTGGTCTGAATGCACTTCAAATAAGCAGCATCATCTCTCTCAATTCAAGCCCTACAGGGCTTAAATCACTAAAGCCATAAATCATTGAAAAACTTGACAAACAAGCTGTGACGACTCAGCTGAAAGTTACAGAAACAAGGAGCTGAACAGGCTTAAAAAGCAAGAATTGCACTGGCTCTGACTATGTTACAAATTCTAACACTGTTATGAACCTGTTAACTGGGGCTGGAGAGGATATATCTAAGTACATAATAGTAAATATGTGCATTACCTAGTAAGTAAATGCTGCTCAGTGAACCATATTCTGCAAGAATCTTTACCATGCAGCTCAGGCATTTTAAAATTAAGGTTATTACTGGTGTGAAGGCATAGCTTTCTTAGGCAACCCTGATAACCCTGATGTACTCATTCACTCACATAAGGTAAAGACAAACTGAAACCTAAGCAATGCTTTTTTGTCTGAATTAATATATTGCAGATCATGTAAATGTCTACAGCTAGCTACTAGAGAATGTCTACTAGCTAGCACTAGTCCTCTTCCAAAATGGCTCCTGAAGGAAGTTTCAGATTCAGAGAGGCCCCACCTCAACATGCCATTGCTTTCCCAGAGCATTGACCACTCGTCCCTCAATGGGCCTGCGGCAGGCTCCACAGATGGGGATTCCCATCTTGTCGTGGCAGGGCAGGCAGTACAGTTCTCCCTTCAGTTCCCGGGCCTCAGCAGTCAGCTCCTTTCTGAAAACACAAACGTGTCCCTGAAGTAACAACACAAAGTGAAGCTCTAATGCCCAAGATGAAGTTCTGGAAGACTAAACTGGAAAGGTAATATACTTTGGTGACATTCATGCTACAAATGCAGAGTCATTAAATTAAGCTAGTGAAATACAGTTGTTGTCAATTCATCTTTCTAAAATCACTTTCCCAGTTTGCCAGACAAAAAAACATAGATGGAATAGCATGTCTTCAGCTAGATACTCTGGTAGAAATATGAGGGGCACTTACATGGAACAATGAGGTGTCATGCAAAGACTCAAGCTATCTTTGAGTGGGACAGCTCAGTTTCAAGGACCATCCTGGCAGTTTGCAGCACTGAGCCACTTTATTCTTCAGCACTGTTACCCAGCCTAGGGCAGTACTGTGCCAGAAGACTGACACAGCTCACCAAGTCATCCTTTTTTCTGTCCAAGAATGCAAAGTGAAACTATTTTTAATAGCTTGGCAACAGCTATCTTTGGACAACACTATTACTGTAATCTGCACACAGCCTTTCAGGTAAGTTCACATCAAGGAACTATATTAATTTTCAGTATAAAATAGTGTCATTCAAGTTTAGGGTAAAAGAATGTTTAATGGCAAAATAAAACTAAAGTCCCTGTAGACTTTCCAAATTTCATTTTTCCTCACACAAATTCTGTTTGTTCAACAATGTGAAGGTTTAGGCTTTGGAAAGGACTGCACTGCTGACTGTACTGTTTCTCTCCTTTTTTGTCAGAGTTTAGAATACGAGAACATACCCACAGTGGGTGCAGTTGAAGTGATCTGGATGGTAGGAATCATTCCTAAACATCAGAGGCTGCTCATCAATTATCAAGTGGCACTTCTGGCAGATGTACTTGCCCAGGCCCTTAGCTTTTTCACGGTTATGGCACGGCCTGCACAGATGCCTGGATAAACAAAGTAAAGAAAAGAAAACATTAAGAAATTCTTTCTCCTAAAACAATGTACAGTGCATGCTGTAGGATGTACTTTATCTAATAGAAGAAACAGAAGAAACATAATTTAGTTTAGTATCCTTTCTTTCATACCGGTTGCACAGAAAAGAATATGTGGATAGAGCAATCACAGAGTTGCATTTACCTAGAATACTCCAACACTCGCTGATTTATATCCCATCAGGGATATCACCCTGTCATTCTTCTAGTTATCTTTTCCAGTTCTTCTAGATCCTTTTTGAGCCATGGGCAACAAAAAGTGGCAAACCCCTCTCTCTATTACTAACTATGGAATCCAGCCATAACAGAGGCATTACAGCACTGGGAGGGAGTTAAGGAGAGAGAATAAAAATGATTAAAACAAAGCACATCGCTTGAATGCCTTTACCATGGCTGGACTCCTTAGTCTTCAATAGCTAGGACAAACAAGAGACCACTGAGTACTAGTTCTTCTGCCTACAAATTCCTTTTAGTCTGAAGTTAAAGAAAATAAAGAACTATGCAATTTTATGTGGTAAACATAACTGTGTGTTATGTGGTAAATGTAAATGCATCAAATGTTCTAGAATATATTACAAGTGCAAGTTCTGAATGGGTAGATAAGCCAAATTTTTGGTAGAAAAGCCTGGGCAAAGGGCATAAAAAAACTTCTGTAAAGGCTGATGGAAATCCACCAGTTTTATCCCAATATTTAGGAGCTCTGAGAAGAAGCTGCTCAGTTTACTTGCCTATTACCTACCCCTCTAGCTGCAATGCTGCAGGCTGGGAAGAATTTATGATAAAACAAAAATGACAGAGGAATGACTTCTGTGGGTTTCTTTGTCACAAAACAGACAAGTCTGCTTAATTCCTTTCATTATATCACCATGTGAAACACTTGCCGAGATTTACAGGTCATTCCCAAAAGACACCAGACAAAAGGAAGACTTCAAATGGAAAGGCTAGATTTATGGCTGAAGTAGTGGGTTCTTTGCAGGGCCCCTTCCAAAATTCTGCTGTGATGAATCACCCTTAGATCAGTAAAATGGGGATAAGAATACAACACAGATGTTGTTGTGAGACCTCAAACATTTATGACCCTCAGCTGGCAGGCGCCTGTCTAAGTGCTAAGTATCATTATTATTCTCTCCAAATCTGAGTCCTCCTGTCAGAAAGTGTCTCTCTCCAGGGCTGGAACTACTGTCTGCCCAGACGGAGTCCAGAAAAAGCAGACAGCACCCCATTATAAGGAAACATGCAGCTGTGCTCATCTCAGCATAAAGGCATCAATTTTATTCGGCACTGTCAAATGCAGAGTAATTATACGGGGCAGGACATGGGGACCCTGAAGCAAGTGTCCTGAAAGAGACCCCTCTCATTCAGCTGAATAAGATGCCTTCAGCCATTTGCACTGATAAACCATTATCAATCCCTCCCCACTCACAAACCCTCTCCGCCGTCCCATAGACCCTCCTCTATCGCAAGCAAAGGGAAGTGTTGGACAGGCTAAGCTGTTACCATAGCAGCCATCCCTCTCCCTTTCCCCCCTCCCCACTCCCACCATTATGGAATTATCCCATTCTGAAATGTCCTGTTGTGTCTATTAATACCAGACTTCCCCCAAACAATGCTTCTCTCCACCCTCCTAAAATAATCAGGGGACTCCAAGAAGTCTGTGTTCACGGCTGGGAGTTCAGTAGCAGCCTTTAGTAAGCACCATGAACACTGGAATATTCATACAGTATATTCATATCTATAACAGGAGCAGCAAGCCCAGTGCCAAGAGCTCAGCTGGGATGAAGACTGCTCTTCAGTGCTGGGGTGTCCTCTCCCCTGCTCTGTCGTGTGACTGAGATGATAATGCACTATCAGAGCTAGAAGGACACTATATAGAGGGGCTCCCCTCTCCACCCTCAGCAACTCTGCAACTGTGTGCTTTTTTTGGATCATCTTCTTGTCTTCACCGTTGCTGCTTCTATTTGGTTTGCTGTCATCAGAGGAGTTGAGATTTTCCCCCAAAGGACCCTATACTCCACTCATAGGACTGCACTGTCAAGAGGTAAGAGACAAACTTCGTTTAGCAGAATAATGAAGGAGCTTTCCTAATGGCATTAGTTTTAGCTGGTGTCAGTGAGGTGGAAAGACAAACACACAGAAGCAGATGAATATAATGGAAATGTTTGAAACTAAGAACAGGCAGCACTTTTTTGACTTCCGAGAATAATCTCCTCACTCTCCTTTAAAACATTCCTCCAAAACATAAAAGTTTTCAAACTTCTGTACCTCATGCATGTTCATTTGTAACAGGAAAACTGATAGTTGTATGGTATGTCCAGTGCTCTCTGACACTGCTTTGATGCTCACAAGAAACAAGTATTTCAGCAGAAGGGTGGGAGGCTCAGCAAGGAGTAATTTTCAGGAGAGTAATTTTAGTCAGAATTGGACTATTTCTACTGAAGAATACTTTCAGTGAAAGTATGGAACCATAATCAGGAAAACCCACAAACTTGCATAATCCCAAACCAGAAACTGCTCTAGCTGAGAGCAAGAACAGGAATTTCTGATAATTTCCCTAACATATAGTTCAAATTTATCTGCACTGGGCATTATAACGAAAGCTCCAAACTAGCCAAGGAACTAATTTAACAATGAGCTGAATATTTCTTCTGCTTATTGTTTCATTAATGATAGAGCATCTGCTGAAAGAGTAATCGGGTTGTGTCTATACTGACAGCCTTGTGGATTATTACCTTGCTTGTTTCTGAGCAGAAGAGAAACAAGGCATAAAATATGGGCAGTGTGCATGCATTTCAAATGAGCAGCAACAGCCCTGGGAGGCCTGGGATAATGGCTCATTCCAGAATAGTGCTCTGTTTAGCAATACGTAAATCACTAAATATTCGCACAACACTAAGAGTGCAATCCAAGCGGAAATTATTGGACAATGAGCCAGACTCCTAAAGGAGTCTTCTGTTTGTGGAGTCAAAGCCTCTTGCACCATATAGCTTAGCACAAACTACACATTCTAAGTCATTTGGGAAGGTTTCTAGTTTGCTCTTAGCATTCACACAGACTGGTACAGAAAGCTTTCTAGGACTCTGAGTGCTTTTTTTGTAAGCATAACAAACCAAAAAGAAAGAAAAAAAATAACAATTAAACACATTTATTTTCAATCTATAGGAGAAAAACAGGCAAAATAGAAGTGGAACGGTAAATAACAGCAAAGGGCTTTCTACGCTGTCTACAGAATATGCTGTCAAAGAACTATTACTTTTGTAAAGTTGTAGCATTTTGTTGAAAATATATCAATTCTAAAAATAATCGAAACAATTAATTCTAGTAACATGTCAGCTTTTTTCCCAATCTAATCAAATGCTACACCACAATTTTCATGTCAACAAACAAGAGTTGTGAAAAAAAAAATTTAAATCTTGACAAAATTACCTTCTAATTTAAAACCTAAGCAAAAACTGGAAACAGGCCCACTTCCCTTTTTCTATGATTTCTGACCAGGCAATGAAAAATATCTCCCTTCACCTTGCTCCAATAAGTAAATTAGGTAACAGCAGCTCTCCTGTGAAGGCACCCATTTGAAAAGACTGAATCTCTTTCAATTTTATCATTAGTTGCAAGCCTCTCTCTTCCTGACACTGACATACTGGTCTTCTAGATAGCTTTAACTACTTTCTACTCCACCCCACAGCAACTGCAGTGAAAGTGTGTCCAGAGAGAAATCAATGGCAGACTCAGTGCTGCCATCAGTGAGGACAAAACTCTCAACTTTTAAGTCTTGGCTATTCCAGGTCTGGCACTGACACTTCCTCCCTAGGAAAGCAGCTGAAATAGAATCAGTTCAATATATCATGCTGCTAAACCCCCAGTATTTAGCTTGTAAATAGGGAAAAAGACTGGTTACTGCTTTGTTTCTTGAACTGATGTAAATCATTATCACTAAGACACCCCTGTCTGTTCCATCAGACAACCCTTGCTTCTGTCTTTTCAGCTGATTCATGCCAGGATTTACTGCTTTCTCAGTAGTGTCACAACCATGTATAGAGTAATGTTTAGTCATCAGATCACCCAATCACTGACAGGTGTGTCTATAAAAATCACCTGATTACATTTTTCGCAAATGAAAAGCATATTTAAACAAAGTGCCTGACACAACAAAAGTCTATATAGCCAGAACATCAGGTGAAGAGGTACCATTGTAAATTAACAGCCAGTAAAAAGGCATGGTCTCATCATATTTTCCTTTAGTATGCAACAGAAAAATACAGATCTAAACTAATTCCAAGGAAGGACAAATATTCAAGCATTCAACATTACTATCACATATAAACTTGAAAATATTGTGATCAAAAATACTTGCAGGTTTTACTTTGTAAGGGACAAATAAACACTAGAAACAAAAACTGCAGGCTCCTCTGTAAACCCAGGATATTCACACTGAAAATTGCAACAGGGAATTTTCCTTTTCTACGTGAAAGCAAGATTTTAGGTGTATTTTTATAGTTGAAATGTCCCTTGGAAAAAGGGGCTGTAAAGTCTTCCTTGACCATGCACTTCTGGTAATTCTAAGATAATAATTTGTTGTCATCTCTAGGACTACAAAGAAGCATGCAGCTGGCAGCAGGCAATGAGTACCCATACACTCAAACCTAGAGGGGTTTTTTTGTGCCATAAACATGCAGGGTATCTAGACAATGTATGGAGTAAGAAGGCCCCTCTGTGGCCACGTGAAGAATTTCAGTTTCTGAATTTCATTCAGTCTCCCTTATGTTGACTTTTGTCTCTTCAGCTGTGAACTAAACAGAAGCAGTCCAGCATATTAATCTCTAGCCATTGTAGTCTTTTGTCCACCTGAAAGTGACAGCAGCCAAAAAAAAGATAGTGATTACCTTGGAATTTTATCTACATTTTCCAGTATATTGTTCTGTTCTTAATTCCATTTCAGTTTCTCCACTAGGCACCAATGTTTTCAGACATCTGAATAATCAGTTCTGTTGGGAAGCTGGATACATTCTGTAAAGCCATGGATCAACTGTACAATGATTTAAGATTTCAGCATATAGCATAGCTTTTGCCCGAGACTAAAAATTTTATCTAACAATGTCAACAGCTGTCTTAAAATTTTAATGTCAGTAGAGGAAAATGGATGCATTTAAAGATGTAGTGAATGTTACGGAGAAATGGTTGATCAGTACAAAATGTAACAGTGAGCATGACAGAGGTCCTGCTGCACATACTATAACACCTCTGAGGAATCTAAGAAAGAAGAGACAATGTTGGAAACTCAGACTGCCGGCATTTCCCTACCACCTATACCCACAGATGAGAAATGTATAAAAAGCCATGGTTAGGTGCCCAGAAAATCTTAACACTTCTTGTTGATGCTGTTCAGGACCCCGAAGACAACAGAGATACTGGCAAAGCTAAGCTCAATTTTACTAAGCTGCTCTTGGGAAAAGGCCCTGCATAAGCTACCTTGGAGTTCATGCTTTTGAGGGAGGAAAAAAAGAGAGTTATAGTTATGCTGGGAGAAGAAAGTTGCAGGGAAGGATGACACTTTGACAAGTAACCAACAGCATGGGCATTACTAATAATCTTTTCTGAGTCAATTCAGTGCTTTTTAGTGTTCAAATGAGATGCTCCTACTCATCTGAAAAGTTTCCTCCTATATCGTGACTAGATGCATTTGCCCTAAATACAGGACTTAAGACTAAATCTCAAAGATTTTCAGGAACCCTGCAGGTTTCTTAATAACAGCAATACCTGACCTGTCTTCTACCTCTTCCAGGACCAACACATATTCTAAGGTAGGTCATCTTACAACAGATACCTGTGCTCAGAAAAGCTGACTCATCAGGAGCATTTCAGTCCCAAATCAGCTTTCAAATTAAACATAGCAAATACCTTCTAGCTAGGTATACTGAATCTACTTTCATTCATCCATTAACCAGACACACAGGCATTTCACTGCTCTGTTATTCAAATGACCTCAGCACAGGTTGGAGACAAGCTCATAATCAGCTAGCTTTATAGTGGTTCCTTCAACAGGAATTAATGGTCTGGAAAACTCAGCTGAGCAGGAGGTATTCCGAATTTTAACATAGGGGTTTAAACTCACACTGATCTGTTGTATGAAATACTATTATTAGCAAACAGGAGACATCACTGATTTTATTGTGTTGGGTTTCGGGTGTTTTTCTGGGGTTTGGGTTTTTTTTCTTCACAAAACCAGGCTCTTTTGTAATATATTGTCTCCATTCTTTCAGGTTTTGGGGCTTCTTTTTGTCAAAACTGTGGTGAAAAATGAATGGCCCAGGAGAACCCTCAAGCCTCCTCTTCAATTGCTCAAATCAATCAAATTTCTCTTTGGAAACGTCAGAGCAATGCGGCAAAGAGACACACCTTGAGAACATCCTTTTTGCCACTTTCTACTTCCTGGACTTCATCCTGGCCTTTGTTGGCAATGCTCTGGCTCTTTGGCTCTTCCTTCGGGACCAAAAGTCAGGCACACCTGCCAACATTTTCTTGATGCATCTTGCTGTGGCTGACCTGTCCTTTGTGCTAGTACTTCCCACCCGGCTGGTGTACCATTTCTCTGGTAATCACTGGCCATTTGGTGAGATCCCATGCAGACTCACTGGCTTCCTTTTTTACCTCAACATGTATGCCAGCATCTACTTCCTCATGTGTATCAGCATTGACCGTTTCCTGGCCATTGTGCACCCAGTGAAGTCCATCAAGCTCCGGAGGTCCCTTTATGCCCATTTGGCATGTGCCTTTCTATGGGTTATAGTTGGGGTTGCAATGGCACCTCTGCTGCTCAGCGTGCAGACAGTCAAAATGAAAAACACAACTGTCTGCCTGCAGCTCTACCGAGAAAAAGCATCACGTCATGCCCTTGTGTCCCTAGCAGTGGCATTCACCTTCCCATTTGTGACTACGGTGACTTGCTACTTATTAATCATCCAAAGCCTGAAGAGTGGGAACAGAATTGAGAAACACCTGAAGGAAAAAGCTATCAAAATGATCATTATGGTCCTGATGATCTTTCTGATTTGCTTTGTACCTTATCATGTCAACCGCTACATTTATATTCTCCATTACAATGGGATCAAAACTTCCTGCGAAACACAGCGTATTCTAGCCCTCAGCAATCGCATCGCTTCCTGCCTCACCAGTCTAAATGGTGCCTTTGACCCAGTCATGTATTTTTTTGTAGCTGAGAAATTCCGTGAGGCTTTGTGCAATCTGTTTTGTGTTAAAAAGACTGTAACGTTGCCTCAAACATACGAGGGTAAGACAAATGAAAGCTCACTAAGTGCTAAATCTGAACTGTGAACATGACTCTTGTCACTGCTTCAACTTAAGAACACTCTATTACAGCAAAATCAGCTCAGAGCACAAATATGCAGCAAGATAGTCCACCCAGAGTCAAACTCATCCTGAGGAGGCAAGTTCTGTTGTTTTCATGGGACTGCAATTAGCAAGAACTCTCTGACAACAGAGATCACATGTTCCTGTCTTATTGAAACTGCTAACAGAAGTACAATTCCACTGATTTCCAAGATGTGAAACTGAAGGCTGAACACTTATGAACAGGGAAGAGAGCAAAGAGGCTATTAAACGGACTCTTTTTTTTTTTTTTTTTAAAAAAAAAAAAAAAATTTTTTAAAAAAAAAAGCTTAATTCCAAAAGCATTCAGTAATGACTCTTCCTCTGCACGAATTTTATATTGTGCCAGCAGCAGAGTTCCACTTCTGAGATTGACCTGCCTGATGAGATGATGAAAAGCATGCTTGCACATCTTGTTCAAGTCTCTGAATTCAAAGCATTTATACATAGCTGACAGAAATTTGGTACTAAATAGGGGCAAGAAAAAAAGACCAAAATGCTGCAATGCACCCAACCTGGACTGGAATTAAGACAAGACTAACAATTTTTTTACTTATTCCCAGCATTCGGAGCTGGAGATGACACTCAACTTCACACTACATTTTCTATCTGCCCTCTGCCATTGTCTCAAAGCTGCACACAGAGGTTTTACATTTACTACACTGCCTCTTTTATGTAGTTCCCTGCAAAACATCAGATATCCTGATAACCCTCAAACTAAAGAATAGAAAAGGGGTGTTTAGGAATACAGCATTCATCTTCACTACGTACCGAATCATAAAAATATGAACCCAAATGGCAAAAGTGAAGAAAAGTAAGCATATGAAGAAGTGAAGTCTACTTTGTCCAGAGGAGACTCCTATCTTTCAGGTGTTTTGCTTTTCCAATAGTATTTACTAGAAGACTGCTTCTATGCTAGGGAGACAAATATTATAGGAAATCATGTGACAGATTAATTATATTTTTTTATGTACATATACATGCATATCTCTTTTCTGCGGTTTTGGGAATGAGCTCCTTACCATTTTAGAGTTGGTCCACAAACTATTAAATCTAACATATTTTATCTTACTTGAACTGCTTCAATCCTGACTGCTTTCCCAAAACACCCCAGGTGCTATCACAACAGCCCATTCTAACAACCACAGGTATCAAAATCAATTATGCCCAACTCCAAAAAGTAAGGCACAGAAGTTGCATGCAGGATGCAAAAGAAGAGGGAGTTGAGAGGGCTCCCTGCTGGACAGGGTACAGGTGTGTAACCTTTCCTTCCCTTCTTCATAATTAGTTAGAATATAAACCCTAGGAAACTGATAGGCTTTGCTCAAGACATACGATAGCCTGAAATTAACTACGAATTGTGAGACACTGCTAACACTGGACTGTTTTATTTTCTTATTATGGTATGCTTTTGTACAAGATCCCCTTTTATGTTTTTATTTCTTACTTAATTAAAAGCATTAATTGACCTCTAGGATTCATTTTTATTCTTCTGTGTATAAAATGAATGATTTCTGAAGACCAGAGGAATCACATGCTGAACAGGCTTTGGTGTAATCCTTGTGTTATTCTCCTGGCCTTTTGCTATATCTTAATTTCCTGTTCAGCGTCTTACTTGACAGACAGCCCACCCAGGATCACATAATCCCTTTCTCTCACTTGTTATTCAGCCTTTTGCCTGAAATCCCTTTCTTTTCCAAAACCCATCCACTAGCTACTAAAATTTGAGTTTCTGCTTTCTAGCTGCTTCATTGGATGAAGAACACTGTTCTTCATCCCATTTCCCATCTCCTAACAAACTATTCCTTGAAGCTTCTTCTGTACCCTTTCAAGGTTTACCTTTCAGCATGCAACTAACTGACCACTCTCAGCATCTCGCTACTGTATCAATAACATACTGATAAAACTTTCAGAGCTCCTGCTCTATCTCACCTGCCAGCATTCTTCACAAAACCCAGGTCAGCAAGTGTGACATCGCAGAGCTCACAGCGGAAACACTCTGGGTGCCAGTTATTGTTCATTGCCTTGATAACACGCCCAATAATGAACTCACCTGCAAAAGGAAAGCAACACCTTGAAGATGCAAGCAGGAAACAGTCTACCAAAAGTCTACTGTCCTTCATAATGTCCTTCCACTTTAATTCCACAAGAACTATTACAGTCTAACTTGCCATTACCCCACAGTGTTGACAGGCACCACATCTTACCACATTCCCCACAGCAAGGAGCAAACAGCATCTGAAAGTCATGCTCACAGTACTTCCGACCTTCAAACTGTGAAAAAAACAAGAGAGAAGAAGCCCTCGTGAATAACTGAACTACTCTTATGTCTTGATAGTTCACCATGATTTTCCATTGAAATGAATAATTAGACAAGGTCAGTCAACTTTTCCAGTTCTAGCACCCACTCACCTGTTTTTGAACTCCTAAATTAAAGAAATATCCAGATATGGTTCTAGCCCCATGGTGTATCTGCACAGCAAACAATTAAATTAATAGCAATGATGCTACCAGACAGTAAAAATCTTGAAGTGTACAAAGCCCTTTTCCTATAGTTGGCTTTAATTTAATTTTTGCTTTAGTTTTTTTAACTCATGTAATTCAGAACTACTACTCCTACATGAGGCCAAAGCTCATGGCAAATTAAGAACGCAGTATGTTTAAAATAAAGTGTACTTGCACATATTCTGTAAAAATATTCCAACTTCATTTTTACATGGGCTCACCAATTTCAGTTGCCCAACTTGCAAAGTTTGGTACACAGTGTCTAAAAATAAAGACAAAAATTCACTTATGTCTAATGAAATATTAAGAAACATTTACTATTTTCTCTTTTAAATACCTCTTACCCAAAGAGCAAGCACACAGTTTTATAGGAAGGCGTATGTAAGAAGAAAAAAAAAAAAAAAAAAGAAATTAAGTAGGATGACCCTCAAAAAAATAGCAAAAAAGGTTTAGGGCTAAGAAATATAACATGCAAGAAAGATGGAAATTCATGTTTCTGCCAGAATTTTCATTGCATTTTAATGAAGCTATTTCTCTTCTCTTACACAGAGTGTGAGACCTCACCTCATAAAAAAGTCCATCTGGGAACTGACGAAAACACTGAGCACAGACAAAGCAGTTTTCATGATAGAGCTCCCCATTGCTGTTCACAATCCTCTCTGCAGGATCAAATCGGGTCTGGCAGCGTTCACATACTGCATTTGCGAGAGCATCAGACATATTACTGGAATAAAGACAAAAGTAAGAACATGTCACAGCCAATCACATGAGTAGAATCATATCATCCAAGTTTCCCCAGTGTCTATGAACACAACATTTCCACTGCTTTAAACTCCCTTTCACATGAAAAAAAAAAAAGACCAGTGAGTCAATTCAGCACTGACATCAGTTAAAAATAATGTTCTTGCAACTCACACGTGGCAGAATGAGCTCATGTAGCAGACATCTTTTGACTGCTTCACCAGTCTTTCACCCCATTATGTCATCCTGCTACTAGCTCATAGCAAACATCCACAGTTTCAAATAAACAGCAACTGGGAGAGCAGCACACACAATGCTCCTGACTTCTTGGGATTTCTGGTCTCAGGATGTGCACCTCTGAAGATGTTCTGATGTGTAATAAGCACTGATATCCCATTGCAGTCTCCCCTTCACTGCAGGAATTAAGAGGGCATTTCCCCCCCTATCCAGCAGTTTACGTGCACAAGATTAACTGGACAAGTAAGTGCATACAATGCTGCTGTCTTCCTGAAAAATTAGTTGAAACTATCGAAGTGTTCAAAAGGTATGGGAAGAGAGAAGTCTCTCTGACTGGCTCGGCAAACACATCAGCTTCGTTTCCTCAGAAAGCAAGGCTAAAAAACCCCCAAAGCCACACTTGCAAATCATGTAAAAGACATTTTCTCTCTAAAATGCAGAATGACCCTAACCTCTTTCACAAAATTTTCACACTTGCCATCACGGTAATCTAAATTCTCTATATACTAACAGAATGCAGTTTTAAAATCTTACACTGGGTGTCCAAACAGGGAGGGAAAATGTTAAGGAAAGACTCAGTTTCTTGTTGCAATGCAATCTTTCTTTTAACCACCAGACTATCCAATAATATAAAAATTCCATATTGTTACATTTTTAGAGATAGAAAAACTATTTTATGCCTTCCAGGCACCTTCTGAATTCTGTGATTAGAAAGACAGCAGTTTTATAGGTGGGAGTATAAAAAATTTCCAGCATATTAAAAGTCTCAGAAATATTTGTGTAGTAGTTTTCCTGAAGCACCCAACATAAAATGAAAGATGGCTTGGTTTAAAAGGGTTTTTTCTTTCTTTTCATATTCAAAGCTACTTTGAACTGAATTTCCATCATAAGCATTACTCTTCAACCTGACAGGCTACTTTTCACACCTCTTCACAGAGGAGGGTAATTCAATAAACATGTTCCAGTAGCTGAAGATTCTCTTTCCTCTGGGCAGAGACACCCCAACAAAAACGCTGCCGTTTGTGCTCTAGGGCTTTGTGCTCTGCAGGCAGCAGCCTCGTACTCCTGAGGCAACAAAACCAGCCTTGTGCGTCAGCTGGCTCAGCTCAGCCAAACGTACTGCATCTGCAGCCTGTACAAATAGCCTGCACCGTGACCTGGAGTGACCGCTCAGTAAAAACACACTTTCTTTTTGCCACTGCAATCCCAAGAGTGGCAAAGACCAAGGGAGCTGGTAATAATTTCGAGAACGGAGTACCGATTTAGTAGAAATTTGTTACAACTTGTTTCCTTATTGCAGTTTGAAGCAGCTTTTTTAAAAAAAAAGACACGGAGCAGGATAATGGACATGCAGGAAATCCTGTAATTTCATAAACTAGAGGTCATAGGTTAAAGAAACATTTTTATCCTGACAGAGTACCAAAGGAATAGGTCAACACAAAAACATCAGTGTTTGCAGCAGAGCCAAGAGACCTAATCAACTTTTCAATTGCCACTCTTTCATTATATCATGCAAATGTGTACCAGGATTTACAATTATAATCTCCCCATCAAGTATTTTTTCTCCCTCTAGAAAAAACTGAATTCCAAGACTTGAACTAGCCAACATCCATGATTAAGAAAGCTTCATGTCAACATCAGTGAAAAAGCTCCTCTGGGTTATGGAAAACTGGGCAAAACAGCATTCCCATGAGTCTGTTTCCTACACAACAGCAAGTGTTACACCCTACACACCAGCAACAAAACATGACCTACAGTTGTGTTTGTTGGCCTTTTGCTTTATAAACATGAAATCAACATTTTAAAAATCCTGGAGGTTTTTTTGATTGTGACTTGTCACTCATACATGAGAGAAACTATTAGTCCAGGAAAAAATAAAATAATCTGTACACAAAACAACACAGTTCTCTGTCTCAACTCTAACCCAGTTGACATTTGTTGGGGAGATCCGTACAGGAGACAACTAAATCACACATCAGCTCCTGCCCAGTGTGTCTCCTGTAATACAACCCAGCAGCTGTGGCTCTTTGATAATCATAGCTCGAGTTTTACCTCTCTGCTCTCTTTTAATTCATTACTTTCCATCCATCATTACTTAAGATGTTTTATTCTTTTACATAAAAGCTAAAATTTGCAACTTCAGCATTGCCCTAAATGTATGACTTTGCATTTATTCAGAAGTTTTAATTTCACATATGCCACAGTTTCTTAATCTCCCATAACTACACAAGACTGTGTTCCTTCTTCCTTGTCCAAAACCAAGCATTTATTCAACTAGCTCAAGGTTAAAATTAACCAAGGCTGGAAGGGAGGGAGGACAGTTCTAATTCAGAGCAGGTTTATGACTCAGTTTACTACACTGCTGCAAAAACACTTCTGCCAGCAGCATGGGGAGAGGAAGAGCAACCAAAACCATCCTTTTGATGGTGGTACCAAGAGTGACCACAAAAGTTTGACTTGCTGTGTCAATTGTAGGATATTTCAATCTGAATCTTTCCACAAAGAACAGTCCCCACTATGGAGCGCCTCTTCTATTCTGTTTGCTTACTGATTTTTTGCCATTCGGTAAAATACGTAATCTTCCTCTGTTTTAACAATAGCTGGTGACACAAAGACAGGAAAGGCAATTAAAACATGACCAGCTCAGCATCCTGAAGTTATCCTGTCCTGTGCAAACCCAAAAAATAGCAGTGCTCAAGCAATGCCATTTCCAATCTTTCAGCATTATGTGCTGTATCATTAATAAATAATCTTTCTCAAAGTACCCAATTTACAGAAATTAGTTATTTACCATTATGATTAGGTTGGGTTTGTCATGCTTTGACTTCTCAGAAGTATTTACTATAAAGTATCAGCATTTCTCTCAAAAAAAAATTAAAAAATCCTTCCTTATAAGTGGAAGTTAATTGGGAGACCCATTCTGTGCAACTGGTACAGGTGCTATAGAAATATCTGAAAGCAGTGTTACCTCCTTGTATCACTGAAGTCCATATGGATCTCTTCCAAAAACAGTGGTCTCATAGATATTTGGACAAGCAAATGTCATATTTTTATATCATATTCTCATACAGATTAAGGAAATTGGGCCTGTATTATTACAGTTAAAAAAAAAAAAAAAAGGGGTGGGGGTGGGGGTGTTGGACTTATACCAAGAAATCTGGCTAAAACGCTACACCTTCTACACTGTTACCTCATTTTCTAAACATTTGTCCACAGGGATCTAGCACTGGTGACTGGTTGAGTAAAAAACCCCAAATCTAATACTTGCACTGCTAAGAGAGTGGAACAGAAGCTCCATCCAGCCTTTGCATTAGTAGAATGTAGTATCTGAAACATGGATGCAAGACAAAAATTAACCAGACAGTGAGACAACCAGAACAGATGAACAACCTCAGATGATCAGGTCCAAGAAAGATACTGCAGGCACAAGGAATGCTTCCGTCAGGAAAGCCCAGTCAAAAAAAATCAGGTTTCTTTCATTGATCTGAAAAGCTTTTTTTTTTTTTTTTTCCCAAACAGAGTTCTCCTTCATCACAATGCTAAATGAAGAATTATTTTAATAAAGAGATGACCAAAACCCTTACAGATTCTACAAAAAGAAAGGAAGACATTTCAAGGTAGAAGAGACCAGGGCATTGCCCAAATTTCAGCAGATAGGGACCACACCTATGCCAGGGAATCCTAGAAAGGTATTTCCACTCATTTGGGTCTACCAGTAAAAACTAGTATATATAGAAGATATCACAATATAACATTTACACAGTCATTTCTAGTATGTAGACACAACAGATGCCCAGGATTGTGAAAAGTCAAAAACCTAGAAAGCTATCATCACTTGAGTATATCACAGACGCCAGTAGCCAAGATAAAAATCAGAGCACTCCATGGAGGGGAGCTTCTCCCCATCCCCATAGCATGGTTGAGGATTTGTGGCTTTAAGTCCTTAATGTTGACAAGACTCAAAAAAAACCCAAACAAACAAACAAAAAAAATTGCTGGAACAATACCAGACTTTATGATTAATAACACATATTATGACTAAGATAAGGAACAAAGAAAGAGGAAGGGTATCAGTTCATGAACTTCTGCTAAAACCAGCCCTCAACTACCTTTACTATTCTTTCATAATCCCCTCATTGCAATTCAGTTTATCTGGACAACTTTCCCAAAAGGTTATTATTAACCTTGTCATAAAATGATGGAGAAAAAATAAACCCCATTTGTTCAATGTATGATTTGTTGTGCATTTGATAAAACTATGTGCACATCTTAGTATTTTCAGCATTTCTCCTTCTGCTTGCATAGAATTTTTGTTCATTCCCTACTTACACTTTTTCAGCTGGCTAAATAAGAGATGAATAGTGTTTCTCTCAGTGTATCTTCCTCACACCATGCAGCCCCCAATCTCTCAATGAAATGAACACCTTTTGTTTTTATTTACTACACAGAGATAAGCAAAATTAAGAAAAACATACAAATGCAATTTTTGGTCAGAACATGGAAAAAAAAATCTTTATGGCTCTTCATCTCTCCTTGGCCTACTAGCAACAGCAATTTGCTGTTGAAGAAGCCAGGAGTTTAAAAAGAAATTCTACACCTTCACACATTTCAGCTGAGAACAGAATACAATACTGGTGGGGTTGGCCTGCAAGGGAAGCCACAATCAGACAGACCTTTGAGACCAGCAGCAGCAATAAAAACCTGTTGGTATTCACACAGAAAAAACGTTCTATGGCACAGGGACTTAGTCCCTCTCGACCCAATGCATTACTTAATTTCCAGTAAACCATGACCAGTTACTTAAAGACACACATTTAGCAGTGTTCATTCAGCCCAGGGAAACACCAACATCAAGAAATGTACAGGTTTAAACAGATTAGACATACACAGGAAAAACACCCTTTTATTATCAAGCATGTACCACTTCACCCACAATGTCTATTTGATAAATAACTTCGTACACACATTTAATTTTTCCCTTCTTCACTTCCCTTATCTAAAAGGAGCTAAAATGTGATGCTTGTTTACCAGCACTGATATAACAGATCATTCCCAAATGTGTTCATCAATTACCATCAACTAACAGCAATGTTACGTTTGAATTGCTCTCATTTGCCTTAAGAAGGACATAGACTATCAGAACCAAGAAGCAAAAATTATCAGTAGCTCAAAAACTGTGGAAAAAATACAAATAATTCAGGAGACAAAAATTCCAAACAGATTATAATCTTCAATACTGTTATCTGCTGAGTAAAACCAAAGTATGTGGGTTTATGCTTACTTTGCTTCAAGAATTATGGTGTGAAAAATGTACTCAATTTACCTATCTAGGCATTTCCTCCCTAAATCACTCTGCCAGCTGCAAAAATTATTTCTTCTGAATCCACCTGGCCTCATTAAAAATTCTGCCAGCACACAGTTTATATGCAAGCGTGGTCATCCTTGCTGTGTACACGTGTCGCCACAGCAATACATACACAGCCTCTCTCCTTCGACACAGCGCAATATCAGCCCCTGAGCATTCTCCAACCGAGCACCATATTCCTGTAGTTGTGCTAGGCTCCAGAGTGAGCTCCCTGCCCCACACTCCACTCTTCCTAGACTTATTAAACGTGCCCAAGCCTGATGCAGTACATTTGGAGGACCGTTACCGTCAGCATTTCTATGCCAGTGCTACCCAGACCGCGTCCTCTAGCAGCCTCACACAGCACACAAAATAGCACAGGTTAAAAAAGAAACATCTCACACAGATAAGTATTTTCCAAACATCAAGCTCCAGATCCTGAAATCTAGCTGGCATAGAAGGCAAACGAGAACTAACCTTACTCTCCTGCAAAACCATACTAGTGTGGTGCTGAGTACTATAAACATACTGCTCAGAAAAGGGCATTCTCTCTGCTGGTTAAGTACATTTACTTAAGAAAGAGTTTTAAACTCTAATTTAAAAAAAAAAATCAAGACTTGAAAAATCTCTGTCAAGTTTAAAAACTCAGAAAAACATTATTAGAAATAATATTTGGAAATCATGGGGGAAAATACTGTGCCTTTCTGCAAGGCTCTTGCAGGTTACAAGGAAACACAGCTAAACAGCTGACAGCAAACCACATTTTGACAATGTGAGATGATTATGTCTGGGCATTTATCTCCTCATCCTTCCTATCTGCAGTTCACAAGCTGCTGATTTGTGTTCCACTGCTGCTTTTTCAATACTTATTTTCTTCTCTCTCACAGGTCCCCTCTATGGTTCTCACTGTTCCCAAACACCATCCTGTCCGCAAAACAGCATCTCCATTTCTTCTGCTACCTTCTTACTCCCCCTCCTCACTAAATTCATACCCACAACTTTTGTGTAGGAAAAACTTCAAGTTTAACAACTAATAGCTATAGGCTAAAAGGAAAAGAGTGGAAGAGTAGGGTTCTAGAGTGGGATCCACAGTTCAAACTGAGAAGCCAAACCAATTGCTCAATTACAGGTAAGCATCAGGTCTATCTCCTGCTAGGAAAAGACTGAAATGAAAAACTGATTGCTAGAAAAAAACCTCCTCTCCTGCATGCTCATTGCTCTCCCCAGCCACACAGACTTTGGATCCCATATTGCTGCTGCAGCTCACAGTTCTCCCAGAACGCAAGAAAACAAGCTTTATTTAATTCCTGTTAATTTCTCTCCTGCCCAAAATTAACTTCAATGGAAATTGAGAAATAAAGTAAAATTATTTTAATCTGAAACACAGGAAAAGTAATGATCAAAGCAAGCAATGGCATTGTCTGGGTAGATTTAAGAAGCTTTGGTTGATGTGTTCTAAATAATCTCAAGAAGCAGTTATGCATGAAGCTTCAGTTTCTGCTGGAGTTATTTACAAAAACCAAAATCAACTGGCTTGCTGTTGAAAGAAATGGACTACTGAGCCCTAAAAATCAAGGAACAGCAGAATTTCATCAACATTTTGAAAAATTACTGCATTTCACCATTTAAGTGCCTCAATACTTCACCATTAACATCACTAGCACTAACTTTGGTTCTGAACAGTCTAGTATAGTGCATCGAAATGGGAAAGGTTCTCCATTGTTGCTTTCCTGTTATTGTTAAAAACTGAAAGCCTTCTCATCAGGAAGGTCTTTTCCTTCGTAATCTACTTAGAAATGAAAATAAACAGACTTCATCCCCTCTGGCTGTATGCAGACAATTCCCGCTTTAAATACAAACGCCCCATCACCAAACCCGAACATCTATTAAATCCTGGAAAATGCTTCAACAATACCATTCCCTTCATCGCACAGACATACCCGTGTATCCCAGCTGCTGTCTCTGTCCTGTTGCTCAGGAGTGACCCTGTGCCACTCAGCCGATCCTGCCGGCGTTGATAAAGTTTGGAGGATGCCAGCCCGCGAAGCCTCAGGCCAGCCATGGCACCCAGTGCCACCGGGAAGGGGGATGCAGAGACAACTGGAGCGAGCTCTAGCAACACTGAGTCACCTTCCTTTTGGGAGTTGCCTTTACGTTTTAGAAGAGCTAAAGCAGGATGCATAGACCCCTGCTCGAGCATTGTTTCTTACAATCCATCTGCCCTTCTGCTACAGTCTGAAAGATCAGACCTCTTTCCTGTATTTCACTAGTAATTACCTATTTAAGCCAGCACATTGGGAGACTACATCAGCAACTCATTCTGGTTTAGACTTGCATAATGTTATCTGCATAAATTTCATAAGTGAGATTAAAAAAACCCCAAGTCCTCACACAGTTAATACACTTAATTCAAGAAGACTTTCTGATCAAAGCAACAGAGAAATACAGGAAAGTAAAACAGACTACTGGATCTCTTGACAATGAACACTTTAGTTTACTGCACTTGAGTTTATCTGACCCTGGCATCTCTAAGGTGGTTGCCTGCAGGCTGCTGCATCACAATGTCCCGAGGATACTGCAAACAACAGAGCTCTTCCTTCCATTTGGATAACGCATATTCCATGAAACAAACGCATGAAGACCTGTGCTCTCCGGACACACTCCAGCCTGCAGAAGTGGCATGCGGCAGAGGGTCAAGAAGCAGAGAGAAGGAACATACTTGGCATTCCAGCCTCCAGAGCTCTCTGCTGGGAACTGAACAGGGCCTTCTCACAGGAGTTTGTCCTTTCTACCACTCCCCCTCTCCACCCACCCCTGCAAGAGTAAAAACAGGATCACACGGCACAAATGACTCGAGCCCGGTGTAGGGGGTGTAGAAAGAGTAAAAATTTGAGAATACAGAAGTCAGTTTTTAAGAGAACAAAGGGAAAGAGTGGAGGGTGGGAGCATCTGAGTCAGTGTCATTTGATCAGCATTGCCGTGAAAAACATCTCAAGAGTCATTACCAACAAATTATTTTCTAGTAAATTATTTTTAAAATAGAATTTTTGCAGCACAAGAGTGAAATATATTCCATGACTACAGTCTGACAAGCTATAAAGGCGAAAAATGGGAAAGGAGAAGGGATGACTGTGTAAATATTAAATATTAACAGCAGCTATCCCTTCTGTCCTTTAAAGAAAAAAAAAAAAAAAAGTTCACTGGGACCCAGCCGCACAGGCACAAATAAAGAACATCATACTTTGAAAACCAGAAATCAGTAACCTCAAAATCTTCAATTCACCCCACATTTCATTGGGAGTTTCAGGCTCCTCACCTCTGACAGCAGTCTGCCACTACCCTTTCCTCTCACACTGCATGTGTGCTTTATCCACTTCTAGTTTATGATGTAAATGGAACAGAAGAAGAAAAATGTCACTGATACTGGGTGGTTTTGCTGACCTTTTGAATTTTAGAGCAATAAAACACTTTTAAAATGTAATATTAAATGACCTTTTTACTTTTAGCACAAAGCAAATTATTAAAATGCTGCAACATTAATCTCCCTTAACCTCAAGCAATCTGGCTAAAAATCTCTCTCAAATGCCTAAACTTTTACCCTTCTGACTCATATGACATGATTTTACTGTTTTTTAAATAAAAGTAGGACTCTTTTCTTAAAAGGAGAAGATGAGGGGATTGAAGGAAAAAACATCAAAACAATAACCATCCTGTCTTCCCATCCCTCAACACAAGCTTGCTCACTCATTCCTCTCTGCCTCACACATGAAGTGAAAATGCATGGTTTTGTTTTTCTTGCCATTTTGATATATCACCTGCATCAAAATCTTACAGCTAGGTACTTTCTGGGCCAAAGCAGAGAAGAAAGCAGCTAAACTTCTTTTAGGCATTAACGAGTAGTTCTCCTCAGAGTAGCACCAATATGTGCCCCGAACCAATTACTAAGGACGTTCCAACAAGTTAAATTTATCTAGAGAGCCTCACAGAACAGATTTAGATGGAAAGATAGTAAGTTTAAAAACATATTTTTCAACCCAAAAGAGTAGAAATGGCTGCTACAACTCAAAGAGATGAGACACCTCTTAGTTTGTTGCAGGTACTTTCTAGTCAGCGCCAGGAACATTTCTTAGTATTATCAACCTTTATACTCCCTCCTCCTTCAAGCCATTTTATTTGCAATTACTTCATAAAATAGAAGACATGCAGAGCAGCAGCTCTCTACTGAATTACAAAGCATCTAGTCAAACACTAGCCTAATCAAAAATAATATACTCTTATTTCTTACCTCAACTGGATTAGGAACAATCAATAAGCCTATCTGTAAATGCAGCTGTTCTTCTTTTGTTGACTGCAGGAAGTACATAGGCGTATCCAGATCCCAATTAGACCAAATATAGTGATAACAAAAATTTCTTACAAAAATAATTATGCCCTGAAACATCCACTTAGGAAACATTTTTCCTTGGGCTTTGTATCATATTAATATCTAAAGGCAATATAAAACAGCACAGGCATTTTTTTACCTTTATGTTTTCTAATCAACACCACAGCAGTGAAGTCTTAAAAGAAATTAATTCTGGTTTATTTTCTACTTTGTGCATTTGACAATGTTTTGTTCACTGATCCTCTTTCTTAGGAATAAGTCCATCACAAACAACAAAGAAAATCGGACAACACACAGTATCAAAAAAAACCCCAAAACCTGCAACAAAAAAACAACCACCAACCCTCCCCCCAAACCCCAACAATCCTCGAAAAGGCAAAAATCAAACTGGATGGACCAAATGCATCACATACAAATTATAGAAACAGTTTTCACTTGTTTATTGGTAAGGAAGCACCACAGTACATTTCTAAAGGCACCAAAAATCACATAAATGGTATTTCTCAACACTGCAAAATATAAAAAGGCTGCTTAGAAACGTATTATTTTTATATCTAACGCATTACATCTTACACAGTATATTTCCAAATGTAGTTAAACAACAGGTAACTTAATAAAACTAAAATACATATATATCTTTAATGTCTTTCTGTCCTATTATCTTTGGCTCTTAGTTGGAACAGATATATTCAAAGAAAGGGTGATTTTTTTTTTAAAGTTAAGAGCATCCCTTTAAATCACAGACTGCTCTTAAAATGAGGGACTGTAACAGGCACTTGAGTCAAGACACATAGAAGTAAAATAGCTTAGCCAAGACGTGGCAGCCAGAATTACTACTTAAAAATTCCTATGGTCTACTCATTAGTTTTCTCTATGAAAACACAATCCTCACATTGTAACAATGTAACTTGTGATAAATGTAATACTTCAATTTCATTGCCAAATAGTCACCTCTTATTAGTAATTTTCTGCTATGAATACACAGAAGTGCACATCTTTTTTTGTATTTTCTGGAATTATATTTTTTCCCTAATGCTAAAAAACAGTAAATCAAATTACTACAGCTATTTAAATTCAGAAGACATGCAGCTGAATGGAACAGAACACTTAAAAATGAAAATGGAGTTATTTATCATCTGTCTTAATTACTAATAATGCATCAGCAATCACAGTACCTTGGAGTCCTTTTTTACAAGAAAGGCAAAGTGAAAAAGAATAATGTGTCAGCACCTCGTGTTCTCCAGTCTTCCTTGCTTTAACACACTGTAACACAACAAACTCATTCCCTTCCCTGTGTCAACAATTTCAAGACCAGAGGCATGTTTATGTCACGTTCCTGGCTCTGGCAGGTTCCCATTGATTGATATTGTGGGGATGCTCCAGCTGTTAAAAAGTTCATCTCCTTCCAGATCCCTGAAAACCCTGACTCTCAAAAGCTGGAGAACGTTTGATTATATAATGTTGACAAGTTTTAAGAAATACCACATAAAAAACACTGAACAACATCTAGCCACAGTTGAGTGACATGTAGGTGGATCTAAGGAAGCAGGTTCCCGATGCTGAATTCTTTCTAATGAGTTAGGAGTCTGTCCCAGCCTGAAAACAACACTAAACACAGTGCTTGTCAAACGGCATCAGTCATGCAAAGTGCTGAGCAGTGCCAAGTTTCACAGACACCAAAAAGTACAGGTTTTGTTCTGCTAAGAAACTGCTACCCTGAATGGATTACACTATTACTGAGGAAAAAGTCAGCTGAATTACAGCTGTGATAAATGTCTCTGATAGAACAGGTAATCATTTTGTCCTAGGAATGACAGCAGGCAGAAATTTAGAAATTTTCATTGTTGGTAGACTTTCCAGGACAAACATTTCTGAAAACATTAAATAACACTTGCACTCACTTTTCAAAACTAAAGCCACGGCCTTCACATTTTAACAACTCTCTGAAGTACATCTGGGGAAAAAGAGGCAGAAATCCTGCATTACTTTGAAGAACTGCACACTCTGCAGCATCTCAACTACCTTGGAACCCTCCACCAATCCTCATGCTTCATGTCAGAGCTTAATACACCGTAACAGGCAAGTTTCTGAGGAAGCACGAAGACAGCAAAGATTACTGTCCACAGGCATTTCCCGCTGTCCTCTGCAGCTGAGTTGACTTCCCCTGAGGTAAACATGTCATTCTAACCAGTACTACACCACGGTTCTATAAAAATAAAATCAGATGGGTTCATACAGCCACAGTTCTCCCTGGGTCTTCCCCATCTTGTCCCCATTTAGGAGCTGCATGGGTACCCATGACCTGTGAACATTTAAGACTCTTGAGTGTTCCTCTAATTGTAAGGATATGAATGTAAACTGGTAAACACACAGGTATTTCACATGTCAAAAGAACAAAAAAGGGACCATTAAGACAGAAAAGACAAAGTTATCTAAAGAGAGAAGGCAAAAATCAGAAGTGTTTTGAGCATGTACCCATCAACATCAACTTGTCATCGCAGAGAGCAAAAGTAAAACTCACCAAAATCACAGACGAGGCTGTAACAATTTAGCACATTCTCACACCTAACAACCTACCAAACGTGATATATCAAATAATCATAAGCTGCATAATACAAACATGGGACTTTACACAAAAGAAAAAAGAATGCTT